GATTCTTAAATTTTGGTTCCGTTTTCAAATTGGTCTACATTAAGGTCCAAAGGGTCCAAAATTAAACTTAGTTTGATTTTAACAAAAATTGAATTCTTAGGGTTCTTTGATATGCTGAATCTAAACATGTATTTAGATTTTTGATTATGGGCCCAGTTTTCAAGTTGGTCCAAATCGGGGTCCAAAATTAAACTTTGTTTGATTTCAACAAAAATTGAATATATGGGGTTCTTTGATATGCTGAATCTAACCATGTATTTAGATTTTTGATTTTTGGACCCCGTTATCAACTTTGTCCACATTGAGGTCAAAAGGGTCCAAAATTAAACTTTGTTTGATTTCATCAAAAATTGAATTATTGGGGTTCTTTGATATGCCGAATCTAACCGTGTATTTAGATTCTTAATTTTTGGTTCCGTTTTCAAATTGGTCTACATTAAGGTCCAAAGGGTCCAAAATTAAACTTAGTTTGATTTTAACAAAAATTGAATTCTTAGGGTTCTTTGATATGCTGAATCTAAACATGTATTTAGATTTTTGATTATGGGCCCAGTTTTCAAGTTGGTCCAAATCGGGGTCCAAAATTAAACTTTGTTTGATTTCAACAAAAATTGAATATATGGGGTTCTTTGATATGCTGAATCTAACCATGTATTTAGATTTTTGATTTTTGGGCCCCGTTATCAACTTTGTCCACATTGAGGTCAAAAGGGTCCAAAATTAAACTTTGTTTGATTTCATCAAAAATTGAATTATTGGGGTTCTTTGATATGCCGAATCTAACCGTGTATTTAGATTCTTAATTTTTGGTTCCGTTTTCAAATTGGTCTACATTAAGGTCCAAAGGGTCCAAAACTAAACTTAGTTTGATTTTAACAAAAATTGAATTCTTAGGGTTCTTTGATATGCTGAATCTAAACATGTATTTAGATTTTTGATTATGGGCCCAGTTTTCAAGTTGGTCCAAATTGGGGTCCAAAATTAAACTTTGTTTGATTTCAACAAAAATTGAATATATGGGGTTTTTTGATATGCTGAATCTAACCATGTATTTAGATTTTTGATTTTTGGGCCCCGTTATCAACTTTGTCCACATTGAGGTCAAAAGGGTCCAAAATTAAACTTTGTTTGATTTTATCAAAAATTGAATTCTTGGGGTTCTTTGATATGCTGAATCTAACCATGTATTTAGATTTTGGATATTGGACCATAATAGGTGAATGTCCAATTTAAAATTTTTAAGTTCTTAGACCACATTCAATCTGTGTTAGAAACCTATGCTGTGTCAAATATTTAATCACAATCCAAATCCAAAGCTGTATCAAGCTTGAATGTTGTGTCCATACTTCCCCCAACTGTTCAGGGTTCGACCTCTGCGGTCGTATCAAGCTGCGCCCTGCGGAGCATTTTTTACACATTGTGACTTGGATGGAGAGTTGTCTCATTGGCACTCATACCACATCTTCTTATTTATATTTAGAGCTGTATCAAGCTTGAATGTAGTGTCCATACTTGCCCCAACTGTCCAGGGTTTCACCTCTGGGGTCGTATCAAGCTGCGCCTTGTGGAGCATTTTATTGCCTATTATCTTAAAACCATAATAGATAGAAACTTTCGAAGGGAAAAATTATCAGCAGGGTAAGATCTTCAAACATGTCAACATGACTGAAATTGTCAGTTAACTCTTAATAGAGTTATTCCCCTTTTATGATGATTTTTACCAAAATGAGGCCATTGCTGAAGATGCAGGCGAGTGACACAGACTCTTTAGAGCCTCTAGTTTTGTGGACAAGCTGTTAACATTCTTTTCCTTTAGTATTTGTTGGATATAGTTGTCAATCATAAGGGACCATACCAAAATATCCTTATTTGTAAAATAATGTTACCCCATATGCACAACAATTAACTTCATGTTGTATTTAAAAAGGCAATACTTAAATAACGTGTAAACAAATCATCCAAAGAACCATGACAAAAGGTGCGGACCAAATAGTCTCCATGGAATTGAAATAAATGCCAATGCTAGTACAATTGTTTACCATACATAACTGTTTCCCTTTAAACTGACTTAATCATAAACTAATATACATGTAAACTTTGCCAAAGTATCAAAGTCAATGAAAGAACCTTAGTGAGCACGCTCACATACCCCACGTCCCCACATTGTCATTGGAGAAATAAAATAAGTGTAAGAAAAAAAAATTGTATCAGAAAAAAAAATTGAATCATAATTTCATGTCAATATGCACATCTTCATAGTATGTCCTTATTATCTACAGTTTCATGAAATTCTGTTGTGTGATTTGAGAGGAGTTACGATGACAAAAGGTTGCAGTAGTATATTGGGCAAATAAGTTCAAAGGGGTGTAACTCCTGGAAAAGAAATTGAATCGTAATTTCCTGTCGATATGCACATCTACGTAGTATGTCCTTATTATCTGAAAAGGTTTCATGAAATTTTGTTGTGTGGTTTGAGAGGAGTTGCGATGACAAAAGGTTGCAGTAGTATATTGGGCAAATAAGTTCAAAGGGGCATTAATCCTGGAAAAAAAATTGAATCGTAATTTCCTGTCGATATGCACATCTACGTAGTATGTCCTTATTATCTGAAAAGGTTTCATGAAATTCGAATGTGTGGTTTGAGAGGAGTTGCGATGACAAACTGTTGCAGTAGTACATTAAAGTAAATAAGTTCAAAGGGGCGTAACACTCCTGGAAAAAAAAATTGAATCATAATTTCTGGTTGATATGCACATCTACGTAGTATGTCCTTATTATCTGAAAAGGTTTCGTGAAATTCTGTTGTGTGATTTGAGAGGAGTTGCGATGAAAAAAGGTTGCAGTAGTATATGTGAGTTAGTGGTCTAGTGGTTAAGACCGATGGCTACAGTGCTGAAGGTCCCGAGTTCGATTCTCACTCGGGGTGCTAAAAATATCAGTACATCAGAAGGGTGATTTTCACCCTCTCACACACATCTCTGGTACCCAGACCGGAGTTTAAACTAGAATGGGTACTATGGGGGCCTCGGTTGGTCAAAGTTGTTCCTGACTTTGACCTGGAGATCAATCTGCTGATATCTCTTCGGTTTGTCTGTTCCCGCCGAGCAGCCCGGTGGTTCTCTCCGAGTACTTCGGCTTCCCCACCATAATAACAGATCCGCCCGGTGTCCTAACACTCCCTGGTGTTGGGGTAGGGATTGTCCTTGTAAATATTGAACATTGTAAATACGTTAGTGACACATCTCCATTAATCCCAATAGGGAGTGTACACGGATTCCACTGTACCCTCGCAGCTCTAGAGGGGTGCTCCGTAAAAGGAGGGATCTATGTACATACATACATACATACATATTGGGCAAATAAGTTCAAAAGGGCGTAACTCCTGGAAAATAAATTGAATCGTAATTTCCTGTCGATATGCACATCTACGTAGTATGTCCTTATTATCTGAAAAAGTTTCGTGAAATTCTGTTGTGTGGTTTGAGAGGAGTTGCGATGACAAAAGGTTGCAGTAGTATATTGGGCAAATAAGTTCAAAGGGGCGTAACTCCTGGAAAAAAAATTGAATCATAATTTCCTGTCGATATGCACATCTACGTAGTATGTCCTTATTATCTGAAAAGGTTTCATGAAATTCTGTTGTGTGGTTTGAGAGGAGTTGCGATGACAAACTGTTGCAGTAGTACATTAAAGTAAATAATTTCAAAGGGGTGTAATTGAATCGAAATTTCCTGTCGATATGCACATCTACGTAGTATGTCCTTATTATCTGAAAAGGTTTCATGAAATTCCGTTGTGTGGTTTGAGAGGAGTTGCGATGACAAACTGTTGCAGTAGTACATTAAAGTAAATAAGTTCAAAGGGGCATAACACTCCTGGAAAAAAAATTGAATCATAATTTCCTGTCGATATACACATCTACGTAGTATGTCCTTATTATCTGAAAAGGTTTCGTGAAATTCTGTTGTGTGGTTTGAGAGGAGTTGCGATGACAAGAAACAGGACTGACGGACTGACGGACTGACGGACAGACAGACGCACAGACGGGTCAAAAACATTATACCCTCTGCAACTCGTTGCGTGGGGTATAGTAAACCATGCCTAAAAGGTGGGACCAATTAATTTCCTGGAAGGGGGTGGGGGCACTTCAATCATTTTGTGGTCGGGATGAGCAGCTGAGTCATCCATTTACCTAATATTTTCATATATTTTGAATAACAGAAACACATTACCAATCATATTACATCTGTAGCTATCATGATGATGCTATTTCATGGAGAGAAAAACAGATTTGACAAATATCTTATGTATTTCCGACTGTGGTATTAATTGCATCTGTGAAAAAAATAAAAATCTAATTAGTTCCAGAAACTTTTGAATTAATCAGCAACCTTATGATATATTTCATCTGAATTTATTAACCTTACCATATATTTTTAAGCTTGCAAAAATGACCTATTCCAGCAGCTCTTCCCTTCCACTCATTGCATATGAAGTGCCTCCCTCCTCCCTACATAATCTCCATAGAAATGAGATGTACCAATGCAAATGCAACTGCACACCAAATATCATTGACTTACCATCAGTGGTTCATCCTAAACTGACCTACATAACTAAATCACAAACTTAAACATGTAAACTATGCAAAATAATCAAAGTCAATAGAACATTATAAACTGCGGGGACAGGGCCAAGTACTCTCCATAGATGTGAGAGTTGCTAATGAATGCTAATACAGCTAGTACTGCATACCAAATTTTTTTTTTTGTTTACACACTATTTTTGAGTTCCTCAATTTGAGGGGCATTAGGGATATTGACCCAACTAAAGTACACTATAACTGAAATACCATTAGATAAAAAATGGGAAAACTCAAGGCAAAACAATTTACATAGTTGTTGTGGTGGGTCAAATATTTTATTTTAATTTATATAAAACAATTTTTTACAGAATATATTCTGTAGTTTATTATACATGTATTATAATTTTATATCTTGTAGATATCACAATGGGTATAATTATTCTAAAGCCACCTTAGATCCCTATGTCAGATTGAATATTGATTAGTACCAAATTATGGACTCAATATATAATTCAGAAGACTTCACAGGAAAAGCTTAATAAAACTGAATATTTAAGAAATAAGAAATATGGCAATGATTTCTGAATATGATGCATTACCTGATGATAGAGGATTGTCCCTCCCATTGGAAACTAAATCAACAAAATGTGAGGCAAGTAATTTTCTGGTTGAACTACAAAACGGTCAGAACATAGAAGATAAATTTAGAAATTTTCAGAAAATCATAGAACATATAAAGATTATGATTAATAATGAAGAGAGAAAAGGATTGTTTAGTGATGGCAAAACACTAATTGAACAATTTATTCAGTCTACAGATATAAATGTACTACATGCTGTAATCAAAAATAGTTCTATTACGTTTAGTGAAAAAAATCCACCATTATGTTTGTTCTGTTTAATTGCTTATCATGTGCTGGTTGCATCAGAAAAGGAAAACAGCACTCAGATTTTAAATGTTATAAAAGGTTGTCTACAAACACTGAAATTTGTATATAGTTTTAATTTAGATGATGATGATGTTGATGGATTGCTGATTTCAGGCTATGTTTTCCAACTTTACCTTGACATGTACTACACAGACAATCCAAATGAAATTTTTACAAATATACAAACTATCTGGGAATTAGACCCCACAACTGAACTTGAATTGAAACTTACATACTGTAAAAAGTTAATGAAAGCAAAAGATTATAAAACACTTATACAACTGATTCATCACCATGCTGATTACTTTAAAGACAGTTTTGAAGTAGCAATAGAATCTCAATTGTGTATTGAAAGTACAACAACCACCATGGTATTGTTTCATATTCTACATCACCAAGTGTCAATAAATAAGATGGAAAAAGTGAAAAGAATTGAAACAATACTGTCTAGAATACTCAAATACAGATGCTGTGGTACACATTTTCCATTAGATGGATTTTATGATTTCATACTGACACTGGACAACATACAAATACTAGGTATTCCATATTTAATCAAGTTATTACAGCATAGAATGAAGGAAAATCCATATGATTTTATGAAAACTATACTTTTATGCAGCAATAGACTGAGGCAAGCTCACCATTATACAGAGTGCATTAAGTTTATCAAGTGTCATTTTCAGTTTATCTTAAGTTTTCCTACAGATAAGCTGAAAATCCAAGGAGAATGTTATTATAGACAACAATACTGTATCACTCTGCTCCTTTTACTGGATGAATATGTAACTTGTCATGATACTCATAAAATGAATCTGGTGTTGGCAAAACTACTAGTGTTAAGGGTATCTTTCCTCTCTGACATGCATAGTAATTCATGTTACTGTTTTATGGGTAATCAAGAATGCTTGACTACAATGATAAATTCACCTTTATCAGCTCATAGACCACCCACATATGCAACTGATTTTAAATTAAGATTATTAGATTGTTACCATTGTATACAAAATGGTATCAAAATTCCACAGAGGATTTCAACATTCTTTAGAAATAGACATACTCTACTCTCAGAACGTATTAAAGAAAAAAAATGTCTTGAATTTAATTTAGTGATGAATAAAGTCATACAAGGAGAATTAGAATTAGCTCCATTCCTTCATAGTATAATAAATATGGACATGAAAAAGTATAAAGATGAATCCCCTGTATTCTTTATGGAGTTAATCAAAATATCAGCTGACCACAATATAGCTGCATTATATAATATTCTCAAAATGTTGTGTGCCTTCGATTTACAACCAGAAATACAAGATTTAATCTTACAAGGATTGACTGCATATTTCATGATATCATTCAACAGACAATATGGTATATTGTCTAAATTTATCTTAGATATTAGTATGATATGTCCTAAAGGCCAGTTCTCACAAAAACTGACATTAGGTATGGCAAAATTGTTGTTGAAATTTGATAATGATGATGATACAGTAAATGATTTCAGGAAGATAATCTATAAGTGCTATTGCACTGTAAGGCATGACAGTAAAAATGAGAAAGATACAAATATTGAAAAATACAAGGACCATTATACTTTCATTGCATCAATGGAGTCAGAAGAAGAAATGAAGAAATTGAAAGCACTGACAAACTTCTTGCTCATGCTGACAATATTTCTTATTACATCTGGTGGTCATCACAAATCTGCTGAACTCAAGAAATATCTGTCATTGAAGTATGAGTACAGAGACTCCATTTTGTTTTTACTGTGGTGCTCAGGTGATGTGGAGATAAACCCTGGACCCACTCATTTTACATTGAGAAAGTTGGATGATTCAGAGAAAGAAAGGAATTGGATTTATGACATGTGCTCAATACTAGTTACACTTATTAAATATAAATCTTTTGATAATAAAAATGGTGGTATGTGGAAAGAAAAACCATTGCATTGGCCTACTGACTGCCTTTTTTATAATCCAAGAAACAAACCTAAAGGTCCAGGATACAGTATTGGTACGGATAAAAAACTGCTGGAATGCTTAGAAGAACACTGTTATGTGGAAGGAGTTTTTAAAGAAACTACACACTTTGATGATGAACATACAAAATTGAAAGTTAAGCAATATCAAAAGGAAATAATTGCATGGAAAAATAACAGAACTGAGCTTTTTGAACTCTACATCTTGAGACAAGAACTAGATGCACTGATAGCAGCAAAAGGAAGTCTATACAAATACAGGAAGGACCCTGAATTTAATCTATGTCTCTATGACATTCATGCAGAACTAATCTTTTATTCTGAAGAAGATAGTAATGGCAGTAAGAAAAGTTATACAGATATTGTAAGGGACATAGCAACTACATTCTGTAGGATAGATAAAGGGTTAAATTATCTAGAAAAGAGTCCTGGTATCTGGAAAACACCACCTGAAGGATGGAATCCTTGTCATCTATATTACGATCCATGTAATGATAAGAAAGGAAGAGATAAAGGACAGGATGATAAACTAGTTGATAATCTACTGACATACTGTGAATCTAAAAACATAACCATTCCATCAGAACTTCAACCACTGCTCAAAGCATGGAAGCAGAGAAATACATTAGAAATAACCAAATATTATACAATCTGGTCAAAAACTGCAATAATCGATCACTCCTTAAAATATCTTGAGCTAGAAGATATGTTAGGAAAGATACATGTACAGGAGAGTCTGAAACAAATTGGTGTTATACTTGATACACAGTGCTGGAGATGTCCAAGTGTCAAAAAATCATGTACAAGTGACAATGGTGATAAAAGTCAAGATTCAGGTTTCAGTGACGATTTACATAGTTCCCATTCCTCTGACATCGAAACAAACTCAACAGCAAAGGTAGCAAGTTTACAAATCAACAGTGACAATCCATGCATGCAGTTTCCAGATTCAACACAGACAAATTTGAATGACATTCCTGCCAGTCCACATTCCTTAGTTAGCCACACAGATGGTCATCTTTGCAATATCGCACCTGATCGGCAAAATCAATGGAATCAATCTTCAAAACACACATGTATGAACTCATTTAAATATGGCTTGTCAATTTTAACCGGTAAAGCACAACCAGAAGCTGATGGGAAACATCATCCGATATCATCTGTCAACTCCTCAAATTCAAATGAGCAACTTATTACCTGTATAGTTCACATCCATGATGCTACATCAAAACCAGAGAAAAAAAACAACAAAATTTCCAAGACTGCCAAAGTAAGTAAATTGTTTCACATTTCATTACTTAACCTTTATGTGAAATATACAATGCTATTTAAACATTAAAAAAACATTGGTGCAAACTGTTACATGCTTTTCACATGAGTGATTTTTTACACGTACTAGTAATTGTTCCAAGAGAGAAACTTGAGCAAATAAAGCCTATAAGTATCACTATAATTATTTTAATTTTAAGAGCATCCAATTTACGTGAGTTTTTGTCTACACAATGTTTGTAAATTTATTAATTGAACTGTTTTATTCTACTCTACTATATATGCATAGTTTGAAAGTACCATTTTCAAATGAGTACACTTTAAAATTTAAGATAAAAAACGAATTGAAAGTCAGAAATAATAGAGGACACTGAAATTTATTTCAGGCTGTCTATTTCTGCTTCTTCTAACACATTTTTTGCACAAAAGAAATCACAGCAATAATTTAAATTAATGCTTAATTCATTTTAGGTAATGTATTCTAAAGTATCTAATTATCTCTCATTTTTTTTCAGAAAAGAAGTAGACAAAAAAACTATGAGAGTTGTTCAGAGCCCAAGCGACTCCATATATCAGACGAAGACATTTCATTGGTATACTATGAATCAGTTGAAATATTTATTAGAACTTGACTCACTCTGCATATTTTTCTATTAAGATATCAATAAGACAACAGAAAAGTTAAAAAAGCAGAAAAATTAGGATTTGATCATGATTTTTCAAAAATACTATAACTTTTTCAGAAAGATCTTCAGAAATTCAAAATTGAACCAATGATACATTACAAATACAAGATTCCAAAATTTACATACCGGTAAATTCAATTTCATATTTTACATTTACAGTTACTGAACATTTTGACATCACCATCAGAAAATGGCAAGGACTTGTTAAACACCACACCAAAGGGAAACTCAAAAGATGGTAGTGTTAGGACTATTATACCTAACCATTTATCACATGACTTGATTTCAATAAAATCAAGACCAAACCTTTCACCTTCAGAGAAGCAAACTGATCAGCTGATTATCAATGAATTACCTGATACAGCAGATGACAAGGTAAGTAAATAGTACTGCACATACAACATTATGCAATATGCACCAGTGGCGGATTTACCGGGGGCACAGGAGGCACGTGCCCCCCCACCGGTGCAGATCACCAAAAAAATTTCTAACATAATTTTATTGCTACTATAACAGGGTGGGTTTTAGGCTCGTATAACCACACTCTGTTTAGGGTTCTTCACACTTTATTAATATTCAGGAAATATAAAAATAAAGTGTGAAGAACCCTAAACAGAGTGTTGTTATACGAGCCTAAAAACCACCCTGTTATATTGGCACCCACGTAGGGACATAGGGTCATACCTACCAAATAGGGCTTAAAGCGTTCCATACAATTCATTCGTCTCTCATACACCTCAAAGTAAATAAAGTGCATTCTTACCTTATAAAGTGAATATACTAAATTCCATATGTCCAAAATACTGCAAATGACTATCAATGAAATATCATTCAGTTCCAAACCATATAGATATAGCGTTAACTAGAGTAAATATAAATTCTCCATTTTTCTCAAACAATACCCATTTCAAATCTGGGGGTATGTCCCAATTAACCAATGAGAACACAGATAATTCTGACCACAGAGAAATTCACCTAAGCTTTCTAATTAATGATATATAAATTGCACAGGTAGAAACAGTTACCAATGTGCGGTCAAGCACAGCTGATTAATACTAAGTACTCTAATGATTAAATAATACATAGATAAACTGATCAATAAGTAATAATGATAAACTATAAAGAGAAGTGATTAAAATAATAAAATCAATGGAAATCGTCTCTACCACATTACTGAAAAATTAATAAAGAAAGAAATATAGAAATGATGATCTGACAACCCCCCCCCCCCTTACAGACATCTCTAAACAATTATTTAATGGTGCTACCCCAGACATCAAGGTTCTGGATCCGCCCCTGTGCACCTTTAAAAAGAGGTAGAAATAACCAAAGCAATATTATAAGTTGAAAAAATGACGAAAAAACAAACAACAGTCTACAAAACACTACATAGTAAAGTAAAAACTAAGCAGCAAAAACCATACCAAAAACAAGGGGGGATTTCAGGTCCTTCAGAAGAGTTGGCAGATCCTGCTCCACATGTGACTCAGACACCCATTTATTATTTTTTAAAAGATTCTTATTTCCAGCAAAAGATTTTAAAATCAGTATGTGTTGCTCCTCCACCAAGCATGAACAATTTAAGAGTAAGATCAAACATTAATATGATCATGATGATTGTAGTAAGAATAATATGCGAATCAAATATATATATTGCATTTTAGGCAATTTCCCAAATATGTATTGTTATGTATCACGATTATTTAACTCTACCTCCTTCTTAACTGACTAGGATAACTAGTTCCCTGTCAAAGGTTGGTGGTTATCTCTGGGCACAGTGAATTCTTTCAAAAAATAAAAACCAGCCCTGCTACAGGGATAAAGCCAAGAGTGCTGAAAGTGGCATGAAACACTAACAATTAATCAATCTTGAATAGTAATAAATTGCTTAACAATATTTTGGCCACTTCCAATTTAAGTTTGCAAAAGCACTTATATCTCAAAGACATATTTTCTACTTTTCAAATAGTTAAGAGTGAAAAAATATTTGATATAACACTAATGGTAACAATTTCAATTTTCATTACTACACAAGATGCACATTTTGACAATTAATGTCTCACTGTTGCTAGAGTCCAAAATATTTAAAAATCAAAGCTTAGTAGAACTGTTAAAGAGCCCAATATAATCCTAAGGGACAGAAAAGGTATTGCCAAATCTGGACAAGGAAGCAGAGCTATCATTAGGGAGATACATTCCTTGATTTGATAATAAGCCCAGATATCTTAATCAGAATGATCAAAGCTTGGCTTACTGTTAAGTTATATTTATATTGAATCAATATCTATTTATACTGTACTTTTTTGATTTACAGCCAGTTGATTCATCTTCATGTAAACAAGCAGACAATGCAAATAAAAAATGGGAGACAACTTCAGACCAATGTGTAAATCAGATTGTTAATCGTTTAGAGGAGATAGAGCAAGATTACAGTGCAAGTGTTGTGGAACCATCAGTAAGTGTAATAATAGTAATGAAAAAACGTTGTACAAGTCAGATACAAAACAAAAGTAACAATCGAAATGGGCTGGTAAATTACCTGTCCATTTAAATTTTTGCAAAATGAACTGTCCCATTGAATAAATACAACAGCTATTGTTCTCTGTGGAGTTCATTCTATGGGAATTTTAAATTTCTCCATGAAAAACCAGTCATTAAATTAAATTGATAAACTGGATGTACAAAAAATAAACTCCTAGTGATGAATGTACATGTACCAATACTGAATAAGGCAAACTGTGTATGATGTTGTATATATTCCACATCCAACTTATTCATGTCTTCTGTAATAATAGTTTTGTACATACTAGATTGTATGAAAGAAATATTGACAAACTTTATTGCTAAAACAGCCTTGAGTTTAATCACTATAAAACCATTTAGCTGATTCAATTTATTTGCAATATGAACCATTTAAAAAAAATGTCTACAGCTTCTTCTCATTAAGTGTATTTCTGTACTAATCAAATAAAATCAAAATTTGATCTTCGGTAGTCTATTAATGACATAAATTTGTTAATATGTTATCTTGTTTTGAAAATGTGTGTCATTATTCTGTATTGGTAGGTATACTGTAAACCAACTCATTTTTGCGGATACTTTATTTCGCATTTAGCCCTTACAAGCCCATTTCTTGATTTGCAAATATGCTTGATGTATTTAAATGAGGATGGATCTAAGTTTTACATATTTGCGACAACTTATATTTCCGTTATATTTCTACTCGTGAAAGAAAAGACGCGAAAATAAATCCCTTTTGAAAATAAGTATTTTCATCACTAGGAGTTTTTTGTACAGCCAAATTAATCAATGAATGAATGATTTTCATGGAGAAATGTAAAGTTCCCATTGGATGAATGCCATAGTGAACAATAACTACTGTATTTATTCAATGTGACATTCAACTGTTCATTCTGCAAATGGACAGGTAAATTCCAGCTGATTCAGTGGAAAGGTTTCATTTCTTTCAAAATAAGTAAAGTATTGCAGTAAGGTCCATTTCCCACAATAAAACATTGTGCATATATTCAATATTTAACACCTAGATATTCTTGTACAGTAACAAGTTGTTAAGCAATGTTTAGATACGGTTTCTTGATGCATTAAGTCTAGCTCTTTTTGGAGTTATGCAATTCCCTCAGTTTGTTTCATACCTTGATTTGTCTCTTTCTAGTCAATTTACGAAATTTGAACACTGCTGTCACCCTTAATTTCTTCAAAATTGTTGAGACTTTAATGTCTTACAGTTTCAAAAAGTTAACCTGAACGAGAAAATATTTGACCTAATAATTAGTGTAATATTTGAATCAGAATTATCAGTGCAGGAATTACAATAAAGAAGAAGAGACCTTTATATTCAAACAATATAAATTTTAAACCATACTTTTTTTGCAGTCAGGACACTCATCTTCACATAGAAGCAGAGATGGAGAGGTAGACAATGCAGATATAAACATTCAGACAACTTCAGACTACTATGAAGATGAGATGTTTGATCTTTTCAAGGAGTTGGATCCAGAATACAAATCAGCTACTTTGGAAGCACAAGTGAGTGTTATGTAGAAATGTTTTACCATTGTTTCAACAACTTTTTCTATTGTTATATACATTTGTTTGGTATGGTATTTTCTATATTGTCATTTTGTTATTTCTCTTATGGTTGTGGGTGTGTTACCTATTTCTTGCATGACAAGATATTTCAAGTATCATTTTGAAAGATGTGTGATATATATAAGTGATATGAAGAATGTGTTAAATTGGTTAGCCTATGCAATGTGATACAAAGCAACATTCCCATTGCCTAATCATTGGATGAGTGATGACTTTCAAAGGTCACCATGGACTACTTTTCCTCTGTTGCAATGAAGATAGTGATTTCTTCAATAATATACAATTGAATCTCATTTTTCTGTAACTGTATTTTTGTCAAATGGGATCTGTTATGCCCATACAAAAATCTTAAACATCTGATGCTGATGTTTGATGCTGGTTGTGGGCCTGTGACGTCAAACTGCCAAAGACAAGAGAACGAAATGTTACAGAATTTTCTAATTTTTTTTACCAAGAGATTTTTTACCATAAGAGAAAAAGATTTAACAATTGTTGATATCAAATCTTGTAAACTCATAATAATAAACTCTTTTTTTTTTCTTTTCAAATCATTTCCACAATGAAAATGACACTTGATTAAATTAGTTTGAAGTTCTTTTCTGGATTAACCTTCATCATAAATGCTTTAACACATATTCTAAAGCAAAGAATGTATAAATTCTTGAATACAAAGGTCATGATCTCTAATTGTTAAAAATTGAAATCAATTATCGTGCATTCATTATTATCACAATTTCTGATGATCATTCAAAACACATTATCAATCAAAGCAATTTAAAACAATGTAGTAAGAATATCACTAGCCTTAATAAAAATACAATTTATAATAATGCAATGAACAACCTGATATATTTTTTCCCTTTCAGAAATTGAGTCCATGCCCTTCAACAGACCAACCTTCAGACTACAATGATGGATTTCCAGAACATGTTGAATCAATAATAGATGAATTACTAAACATTAATGGAACACACAACACATTTAATGAATAATTCATTTAATTTACTGATACATGATAAAAGTTCATCACAAACATCAATCATCCAGAAAGTTACGGCATGTTTATTGAAAGGACAATTCAAAATTCATAGTGAAATCAAAGTATTCAAATATTTTTGAATATATACCCTATACTTGTAATGCATTGGACATACACTTGAAATATGTGTATCATAAATTTTATACACTACAATATCAATGAATGAAACTTTAGTGAGGAAGCTATCATACAGTAAGCCCAAACATAAATCATACTGGGTATTTTTACAAGTTCTTCTACCCCAAAATTGGTCCACTTTTTCACATTTTTCGGATCTTTTGACCATTAAACTTGTACATGGTTTGATGACTAGAAGCCTTCATACAAATTAAAGACTATCTGATAATCAAAGTGCTGGATAGCACCTGTGGAAAGTTTGCAACGGTAGATGTGTAATATTTCAAATAGGTTGTAAATGTGTAGATTGGGTGTTTAATTTTTTTTCCGACTTTAAAAAAAATGACTGAATACAAGAAATAATTGTAACATGATGCTGTTACGAAGTCTCCCAAACAAAACTCCCATAATTTGTCATTCCCAGGAAGGGGGTGGGAGTGACCCCAGGGGATTCGCCTTTTATTTCATTTGATTTGTTTTATTGTCCCATACAAGAATATATATGTTTTCGGGGTGGGGATCTTGACCATTTAAAAGTTCTCAAAACAGGATGGGGTGGGGGTGACACCCAGGGACGCCCCCTATATTTCATTTGATTTGTTTTATTGTCCCATACAAGAATATATATGGTTTAGGGGTGGGGATCTCAACCGTTTACAACTTTTCAAAAAGAAGGGGGTGGGGTGACACCTGTGGACTTCCTCTATATTTCATTTGATTTGTTTTATTGTCCCATACAAGAATATATATGGTTTATGAGTGGTGATCTCGACCGTTGACAAGTTCTTAAACAAGAAGGGGGTGGGAGTGACCCCAGGGGACTTGCCTTTTATTTCATTTGATTTGTTTTATTGTCCCGTACAAGAATATATATGGTTTTGGGGTGGGGATCTTGACCGTTTACAAGTTCTCAAAACAGAATGGGGTGGGGGTGACACCCAGGGACTCCCCCTATATTTCATTTGACTTGTTTTATTGTCCCATACAAGAATATATATGGTTTAGGGGTGGGGATCTCTACCGTTCACAAGATTTCAAAAAGAAGGGGGGTGGGGTGACCCCTGTGGACTTCCTCTATATTTCATTTGATTTGTTTTATTGTCCCATACAAGAATATATATGGTTTATGGGTGGGGATCTCGACTGTTTACAAGTTCTTAAACAGGAAGGGGGTGGGAGTGACCCCAGAGGACTCGCCTTTTAATTCATTTGATTTGTTTTATTGTCCCGTACAAGAATATATATGGTTTCGGGGTGGGGATCTTGACTGTTTACAAGTTCTCAAAACAGGATGGGTGGGGGTGACACCCAGGGACTCCCCCTATATTTCATTTGACTTGTTTTATTGTCCCATGCAAGAATATATATGGTTTAGGGGTGGGGATCTCAACTGTTTACAAGTTCTCAAACAGGAGGGGGTGGGGCTGATCCAGAGGGACTCCCGCTATATTTCATTTGATTTGTTTTATGATCCTGTGATCATTACTGAAAACCGTGTGTGTCTTTCACTTGCTGTTTTCAAGTAATAGTCATTTGAAAATTTAAAAAAAATAAATCCCATAGGGATCTACAGTAAATCCCTCGCTTCTTTGGCCCCTCAAAATACCCCTAAATAGACCTCAAGAAGAAAAATAATAAGAACTGAGCAAAACAATAAGTCACCAAACTTTGTTTGGGAGACTTAATAGCAAGTAGTATAATTACGAATTTTGTTATAGTCTGATTTTCTGATGCCGATTATGTAATACGCCAAGTTTATTATAGTCCGAGTTTGTTGTGCGCCGAGAAGAGATACCAGGATACTTTCGATACACTCTGGCTTTTACGTCTTTAATAAATATTGTGAAAATCGTAGTAAGCAAGCTATAGCAAACTTTCCAAAAAAGGCACTATCCAGGCAGAAAAATTATTACAGGATATTTTCATATGTCGCCCTCCTTATCATTTGGTCCACCAATTACGGTAGGTTTTTCTGAATATCATTTTGCATCCATAGTTTCGAATTGGAAACCTTCATACAAATGTTAGAGGATCTATTAAGAAATGAATGCTCTATCTTGACGACAAGATATAATATTGGATATTTTCACAAGTCCTCCCTCCTGAAAAAAGTTGATAACCATTTCATATTTTTCTGAAAATTAATATGTGTCATTCAAGGTTTCAAATTTGAAGAGAATTTGACTAAGTATGAAGGCACTAGCATGACAAACAAAGTGACTAAAGACAGACACCTGACTGGGTAAAATGATTTTACCCACTAGCAAATTCATTGAGTGGGGCGTAAAAAAGATTATGCAAATGAGACAACCATCTACAAAGACCAAAGAACAAGGAAAACACTTAGGTCTGTTCTACAATGGATAACAACAATTGATTGATTAATTGTTTGGTTTTTAGTGCCACTTTCAGCACTATTGGCTATTTATTGGCTTGTTTTATTGGTGGAGGGAGTCGGAGTAACTGGTGAGAACCACTGACCTTCAGCAGGAAACAGGCAATCCAAATCAATTAAGATTAGAGTCCAACTCACTGCCACACGTGGGATTGGAACTCACAACCTCAGTGTCTTGACAGGCTAGTGATACAGCAGATGAACTAATTAGACCAATTGAGGCCCCTTCTATAACAATGAGCAAAACTAATACCTAATAGTAATAAAAGGCATGCCAAATGTGAAATTATTCAAAACAGAAAACCAAGGCCCTAAATTAAAACTACTACAATGAATATACACAAAAATAGCAGACAGCAACCAATGACAACAACGTACATTTTCAATTAAATTTGGGATAGAATGGAATGAAAGCTAGTAGTAAGAAATTTTTTTTCTTTTGCTTACAAGTGATTAGTTATTACTTTTCTCCTTAAATATTGTTTTCCAATAGTGTGTTATCAAAACATGATATTATTTACATGTGTAAAGTTTGTACTGATCATTGAAAAGAACTGTGTTTTTTGTGACGAAACACAAATTGGACTGTTTATTTCCATTTGTGATATTTCTTTGTTGTTTACCTTACACTTTTTAAGTATGTTCATTGTATGAATTCATTATTGGACTGTCAAGTAGGGTCCAAAACTAGTTTATGGAATGAGAATAGTGTGTAGGAGAATGGGCAGGAGGGTATGGAGGGTATGATTTTTACATTTTACAGGTTATTAACTCCTGGTGTAGTTTTTCACCAAGATCTCTGAAACTTCACAGAAAGATTGCACACATGTTGATTTGAAGAATTTTTTCCCTTTTTCCAGATTGGGAACTTAGTCATTTCATAAAAAGACATTTCAAAAGATGATAACATTTTTTTTTAACCCTGATCTTTGGAACTTCATAGTAAATTTGCAAACCTATTAAAAATTGTGCACCATCCTTTGTTGAGTATTTTAAAGATGTTTTCCCATTTTCCATTTTATATTGCCATCAATTTGAATGTTCAGTATAGACCACTCAACCAATTAAAAAATATTCTACTCAACTCAGGCATTTGAGTCTTTGATGTTGTGTTGTTGTAACTCAAAAACATGGCAACAACTATCTTTTCGATTGACAACTTCAATGCTATTACTAGAAGGTCAGTCTTGCAGTTTTTGTTTGTTACTTTGATTTGATTTCAAAATAAAGATTGAAAGTAATCTTCAAAATCTTTTTGCTTTGTAAATATTGCTGTTTTCAAGTGTATATTATTGTAGAATATTAGATTTTTTCTGGTACATTTTATATTTGTTTACTTTTGCAACATCCCTATTTATAAGTTTAATTTTACCTTTACATAAGCAATTCATTTTTTTGGTACATTTTGTTTTTGTTTCAAAACCATTCTTAATTGCAGGGATTAGATGTGAAATAATATATATATATACAAGGTGTGATCAAAATATTTTTGGACAAAAAAATATACATTTAGATACACTTAGAAAATATTCATTTTGATGTCATTATTTGTGATCATTACTTTCAAATCTGAATTCTTAAAGCAAAATTTGTCATAGTTTTCAAAAAGAAAGTTTAAATGGTTGAAAGAATAACTTTCACACTTTTTATGGTTACAGAAGAATTTATATTTTCTATATTGCTGGAATTTTAGTGGAATAATCCAATGATCTAATAATGATTTAGAAATAATTGACAAATAATAAAAATACTGTAATTACTTCTGAGTTAAATTTGTAAACTTTATACATTTAGTCCACAAACTTTAGGTCTAGCTCTCATAGTCATTAATACTGTATTGTTTCTGTAATGATTCCTTACTAAATTGTGTACTTACTAGTGACAAATATTTTTGAAATTATAATTTTAACATAATGTTTATTATCATTTACTTTTCAATATTTTCATGTATATATATTCAATAAAATGTGTGAAAAAAATAATTTTGTTTTATTGATAATGTTATTTTTAAAAATGTAAGACACTAATCAATGTCACTATACTAGAATTAATATGGAAGCGCAGTGTCTATCAATACTAGCATTAAAGAAAAATATATGTGTTCTAACTTTTCAAAGCCCACATCTGCTGACAAATAAAAGATTCCTAATTCCATGAAAAGTATGTCATCTTTATATGGTTTTAATGGATCTTATTAAAAAATCTACAAAGCTTTGAAACAATGCATTTCATACAGTTTTCACAGCCATACTGTGGGATTCTGACATCTTCAAGGTATTTTGTACAAAGCTTTCACTTTTTCAAGATCAGACTAAACAGAAGAGTCTATGTGCACCAAATTGGACCTTCTATTTACATTTGTTGGTACAAATCAAATGCACTTACCTTGAAGAGATCTCTTGTATACCCCTTGGATAATGGCTGCCATCCTGAATAGTCCAAAAGCTACATACCAGTCCCAGTTATGTATTGGGGCAATCCCTATTTTTTGACAATATTCAGCAACAACTTCCTCTACTGTAGGTATCCCTAGCTCTTTTAAGTCCAAGTCACCTAAAGCTGTAAAAAATAAACATCCTTATTAAAGAGAGGCTCCTTATGGGGATTTCTTGTTATAGCATTAACACAACTTGTATCCCTGGTATTCATGCACAATGCCCTTCTCCTCTTCCATTACAAATGCTAATTGTTGATCACACCTAGATTGCCTTGGAGGAAAATAACCACTAATTATTTATGTATGTTTTAAACACTGTGAATTCACTTATTTGTGTGGGTAATAGTTTTCATGGATTGAGGAAAAATTAGGTTCTAATCAAGTAATGGCTACTTCCTTTCATGGTGCTGACAAATGTAGCCTACAAGCTTATCTTATATTGTAAATATATAGATTCCATCAATGCAACAAGTGTGTTACGATATTTATCCACTCGAGACAGTTAAATTTTAATGTTTAAAGAGTGAGGCTTGCCGAGCTTTTTAAATAATTAAAATTTAATTGTTGAGAGTGGAGAAATATCGAGTTATAGTGGTGGTATCTGTTTCTCTAATGATTTTTATCCTTCCTTTTTAAAGATTTGCAGAAAGTTGTGTTCTTTATATGTGACATCATCAGGCATGGTTGCCTTTTTTCATGATGTCACAATAGGAAATTCAGAAAAAACCATGAAAATTTGACGTCATAATTAAATTTCAACCAATCATTTGCTGAGAACAGATATTTTACTAGTGAGGAGAACAATTTATTCACATTCGGTTGGGAAATGTGAAAAAAGTTAAAATAAACAGCTGCGCCATGAGCGCATGATACGCCCGTCGTCTTGTGTGGGAATTTTTATGCAATAAGCATAAATAGTTTCTGACATACGGCGTGACATGCGAAAACCCCCTTTTTTTTTCTTCAAAAAACTCAATATCTCTAAAATAAAATTTTGAATCAAAACCAAAAAGTATACAGATCTTTAGATTAATATAACTAAGAAGTGTGTAAAATTTTAAGCAATAATCATAAATCGTTTTTGAGATACGGCGCGACATGTGAAAAACCCCTCCCCCTTTTTTTACAAAATACTCAATAACTCAAAAATAAAATTTTGAATCATCACCAATATGTATACAGATCTTAAGGTTAATATAACTAAGAAGTGTGTAAAGTTTTAAGCAATAATCATAAACTGTTTTTGAGATAAGGCGCCACATGTGAAAAACCCCTCCCCCTTTATTAACAAAATACTCAATATTTCTAAAATAAAATTTTGAATCATCACCAAAAAGTATACAGATCTTAACATTAATATAACTAAGAAGTGTGTAAAGTTTTAAGCAATAATCATAAATTGTTTTTGAGATACGGCGCGACATGTGAAAAAAAAACACACACCTGTTTCAGTTACTAAGTCCTGTAACTCAAAAAGTTTTAATCTTATTTTCACCAAAAAGTATACAGATCGTTTGACCATCATAAGAAACAACTATGTTAAGTTTCATGAAATTTGGATAAGTCATTCTCAAGTTACGGTGCGACATGTTTACGCCGGACAGACAGACGGACGGACACCGGACATTTGTATAACATAATACGTCCCGTCAAAAATTGATTGGCGTATAAAAATTAGAGAACCTTGATTTCTCAATGCTAGAAGATGGCAACTATGCATGAGGAAAATACAAATCAGACAAATAAAGAAAGTTCCTAACGAAGGTAAATCCAGAAAAGGCCTTCAGATACATGCAATTCTTTAAGTATCATTTTCATTCAATATTAGGAATGAAAGGCAAGTAAAATAGGAAGGCAATGGACATCTGGTTCTGTATTCTGGCTTGGCCGGTTAAATTATAAATGTGGTGGGTTTAATCATTAGCGTTGATATCCCTATCCATGTGACAATGGTATAAAGAACAAGAAGGATGTGAAAAATTGATTGTTGCATAAAAAATAATGAAAAAAAAGATATTCTATTTTATATCATTCCAAAAACTGGGGTTTTAATTGATTTGCTTTGACAGTTAACAATGTGATATACTTGCCAGGTATGACATCAAGTTGTGATGGTGTGTAGTAACCAAGACAACAGGTAGCTAAATCAGTTAATGGATCTCCTATGGTGGAGAGTTCCCAGTCAATAACTCCTATGGCAACAGTTTTTGTTGGATGGTATATCATATTATCTACTCTGAAATATAAATTATCTGATTTATGTATTCTAGTTATGAGTGCACAGAATTTTTCTTAATGAGAAATTGAATAAACCAACTTTTCCCAAAAGACAAGCACTTACCTAGAAATGTTATGGTTTCGAAATACTTTGAACAAATAAACAATGAAAACTACTGACAAGTATATGACTGGGGGCAGGGGTGATTATTAGTATGCAGAATTTCTATCTATTAAGTAAAAATTGTTTTAAGAGTAAAGTAAAGTGTGCTATGAAAAGCACTAGTCACATCATTTCTATATCTATACAATAGAAAGATACAATATTCATTGCGTACCTAGAGCAGAGTTAACTTGTCTCATTGGCAATCATACCACATCTTCTAATTTTTATAAATACTTCGACAGAAATAGTGTATCTTGATCTTTTTTATGTACACCAGCTTATATTACATAAAATCTGTTTTCTAGTTAAGAGATTTCTTTCCTGGTATTAAGTTCCTATTGTTCCAAATATTACAATAACTGGTGAAAAAGAAAAATTCGTAAGGGGTCCGCGTAACCCAGTGTCTGGCTTCTTTTGCTGTTAGTCGCAGGCTTAACAAAAATGGAGAAAAAATTATTAAAAATTTTCCTCTAGATGCTATCTTTTGATTGTAAGAAGCTTCTGTCCAAGTTTGGTAAAAATCCAGGATGGTTTATGAATCTAATAAATGTTTTAAAAACTTTAACTGCAGACTGTATGTAATGCTAACTGGAAGAAAAACTAAGTCCATTTATAAGTAATATACGGAAAAACAGGAAATAGATTTTTACAAAATTTCCTTCTAGATACATGTACTAGCTTTTGATCATAAACAAGCTTCTGTCCAAGTTTGGTACAAATCCAGGATAGTTTAAGAAATTAAAATTTTTAAAACTTTAACCACAGAGTGAATGTAATGTTAACTGGAAGAAAAACTAAGTCCATTTATAAGTAAAATATGGACAAACAGGATTTTTTTTACAAAATTTACTTCTGGATACTATCTTATGATCATAAACAAGCTTCTGTCAAAGTTTGGTAGAAATCCAGGATATTTTAAGAAAGTTATTAAAATTTTAAAAACTTTAACCACAGAGTGAATGTCATGCTAACTGGCAGAAATACTAAGTCCATTTATAAGTAAAATACGGATAAACAGGATTTTTTTTTACAAAATTTACTTCTGGAAACTATCTTATGATCATAAACAAGCTTCTGTCCAAGTTTGGTAGAAATCCAGGATAGTTTAAGAAAGTTATTAAAATTTCAAAAACTTTAACCACAGAGTGAATATTTGTGGACGCCGCCGCCGCCGACCACGAAAGAATGTAGGATTGCTATGTCTCGCTTTTGCGACAAAAGTCGCAGGCTCGACAAAAAGACAAGATTTTATTTGTTTCTATTTATCAGAGAATCTAACCTAAAGTCTCCATGGACCACTGTAACACGTTCATCTTGTGGTAAATGTTCTGATAACCACTTGATAAGTTTGTCCATAGCTTCTATCTCGTGTGTTTTACTGGCTTCATACTGTCTAGTCCAGCGGGTAATATTCCTCTGTAAATATCCACCTACAAAAAGGGAATTTTGAATTTTAAATACAGTTCAGTCAGTTGGGAATTTTGAATTTTAAATACAGTTCAGTCAGTTGACTCTCGTTATTTCGACATCAGCCGGACCAGAGAAATTTTTCGATATACCCATAATTCAACTCAAACGAATACCGAATAGACAGACCAAACTGTGTTTCCTTCGACATGTTTCAAATTAAACATTCATTACCCATAAAACACATCTTACCATATGGTAGGAAAAGAAAATTTGTGAAATCAAACACATAAAAAAAATAAGTATACTGGACCTACTGCTTATTATTCTTTGTAGATTTTTACCAATGCTGACTATGGCCTTTGTTGATTTTTACCAATGCTGACTATGGCCTTTGTAGATTTTTACCAATGCTGACTATGGCCTTTGTAGATTTTTACCAATGCTGACTATGGCCTTTGTTGATTTTTACCAATGCTGACTATGGCCTTTGTAGATTTTTACCAATGCTGACTATAACCTTTGTTGATTTTTACCAATGCTGACTATGGCCTTTGAAGATTTTTACCAATGCTGACTATGGCCTTTGTTGATTTTTACCAATGCTGACTATGGACTTTGTAGATTTTTACCAATACTTACTATGGCCTTTGTTGATTTTTACCAATGCTGACTATGGCCTTTGTAGATTTTTACCAATGCTGACTATGGCCTTTGTTGATTTTTACCAATGCTGACAATGGCCTTTGTAGATTTTTACCAATGCTGACTATAGCCTTTGTAGATTTTTACCAATGCTGACTATGGCCTTTGTAGATTTTTACCAATGCTGACTATGACCTTTGTAGATTTTCCAATCCTGACTATGGCCTTTGTAGATTTTTACCAATGCTGACTATGGTCTTTGTAGATTTTTACCAATCCTGACTATGGTCTTTGTAGATTTTACCAATGCTGACTATGGCCTTTGTAGATTTTTACCAATCCGGACTATGACCTTTTTTTGCTTTATATGTGTGCGGTTTACCCAGTAATTGTTTCCTTAATTTTAATAGTTCAATTTTTTTTAAATAAAACATTACAGAGTAAAGTATATAAAATTTAAAGTCTTGTGAAGAAAAATATCCTACAAGATGCAGTAGTAGATTATAGTTTATCTAACACAAGGTGTTATGTTTCAAAGGTAGTACATAATGTACTGCAGTACATATTATTATTATTATTAGAATTAACTTTAATTTGGGAATATGTTTATTTTACCATGTTCATAAAAATTAAAAGGACTCTTGTTTTTCAACTCCAAGGGTTGAACTTAACTGGAGTATAAAAATATGGCCATCTGGACTTCTCTCATTCCAGCAGTAAAACCCTTGCTACAGTGAGGCGTCCATTTGACTGTGCAGGATGTAAAAATTCACAGCCGCATCAGGTTGTTTAGGATGAGTGCCATGCTCTATGCATGTTTAGGAACATCATATCTCTGAGGGATTGCAGGTGGCCTGTTGCAAGGCAAAATTTCCTGCCTTTCAAATATACTCTTATCTTCAAGTGGCAGACCATATTTCCTGCCCTTCATCCAGCTCATCTCACTTTATGGACCTTCTTATTGTATTTATTGTTATTTTTTTCTCATCCTGAATATGCTTGAAATAATTGCCCCTCAAGGTTAAGCAAGAAACAATAAATATATTAATCTTATTCTTCCATGCAATCAATATTTGACATCTGAAAATAAGTGATGAGAATAGCTCACTTGACCCTATTGGACAGGTGAGCAAAAAATGAGAAAATATTTTCTGTGTACTAACCTTTCTTCCCATAATCATCCAGGCCAGCAGCTGATATATTCACAGAATGTATCTTTACAAGAGTACTGATCATCTCAGAATAGACCTCACGTCGCTGCTGTCGTGTCAATCCAGTAAGAGCACGATCTTTGAATATTCTTCCGTCTACATACTCCATGATATAAAATGGTGTTCCTATCAAACTAGAAAATAAAATTGAGAAGTTAATATAGAATTAGTTCATTTTTTTACCAGCAACTATATAATAAAAATAATTTTCTGATTGCTTTAATATGGGTGATGTATCTACTTGAAATACTTACCTTTTAAATGATGTATCATTAGAAAAACTAAAAAAAAGTTCTTCAAAACATGTTAATTACACTTATAAGACCAACAGGAGGTTTGAGAGGTTATCGTTTGTCCCTGTATATCATATTTGTTTTTTGTTTGTTGTTTTGTACATAAATTAAAATCAGGCTGTTGGTTTTCTTATTTGAATTGTTTTACATTTTTTTATGTCACAGCTTTTTATAGCTTGCTATGCGGCATGGGTTAAGCTAATTGGTGAAAAAATGAGAGGTGAAAGATACCACAGGGATATTCAAACTCATAAGTTGAAAACAAACTGACAATGCCATGGCAGAAAACTAAAAATGAGGAGAAGTCAACAACAACAGTATACAAAACACAGCATAGAAAATCAAAGACTTAGCAACACAAACCCAACAAAAACCCAAGGGGTGATCTCAGGTGCTCCGGAAGGGTAAACAGATTTTAAGAAACATAGGTACACAATGCTGCCCAACAGTTTTGCTCTGATAACAGCAGGGGAGATAACTTAGGACCAGATCTTACTGCTGTTCTTACAAAGGCCATACATCTTAGGTATAGGTACACCATCACGTCCAAAAGTTTCCTCTGATCTAATTACAACAGAGGACATAAATTAAGTCTACCTGCTTTCTTCAAAAAGGCCACAATCTTAGGTATCTAAATACCATCCCATCCAACAGTTTTCCTCTGATTACATCAGGGGAGATAACTTAAAACCTACCTGCTGTCTTTACAAAGGCCATACATCTTAGGCACTTATATACCATCCAATCCAATAGTTTTCCTCTGGTTTCATCAGGGGGGATTACTTAGGACCTAATCTACCTGCTGTTCTTACAAAAGCCATACATCTTAGGTGTTGGTACACCATCTCGTCCAAAAGTTTCCTCAGATCTGATTTCAACAGAGGACATAAATTAAATCCTACCTGCTGTCTTCACAAAGGCCATACATCTAAGGTACCAAAATACCATCCAATCCAACAGTTTTCCTCTGATTACAACAGGGGAGATAACTTAAAACTTACCTGCTGTCTTTACAAAGGCCATACATCTTAGGTACCTATATACCATCCCATCCAATAGTTTTCCTCTGATTACATCAGGGGGGACAACTTAAGACCTAGCTGCTGTATTCACAAATATCATACATCTTAGGTGTAGGTTCACCATATTGTCAAACATAACTTAAGACATACCTGCTGTCTTCACAAAGGTTATTCATCTTATGTAAAGGTACAATTTTGCTCTAATTGCAACAGAGGAAATAACTTAAGACCTACCTGCTGTCTTCACAAAGACCATACATCTTAGGTATTGGTACACCATGTTGTCCAAAAGCTTTGCTCTAATTACACCAGGGGAGATAACGTAAGACCTACCTGCTGTCTTCACAAAGGCCATACATCTTAGGTATTGGTAAACCATGTTGTCCAACAGCTTTGCTCTAATTACACCAGGGGAGATAACTTAAGACCTATCTGCTGTCTTCACAAAGACCATACATCTTAGGTATTGGTACACCATGTTGTCCAACAGCTTTGCTCTAATTACACCAGGGGAGATAACTTAAGACCTACCTGCTGTCTTCACAAAGGCCATACATCTTAGGTATTGGTACACCATGTTGTCCAACAGCTTTCATTACTTTAAACTCTCTCTCTACAGCATGTGCTGAAGGCAGTAATTTTCCAGGCTGCAATTGAATTTTAAAATATTGTGCAATTCTTTAAATTAAGGTTCACTTTATTTTTTATAATTTTCTTAAAGAAAACATATATTTAAATACCTTAAGCTTTGGAAAAGTAATATACTTGATTTCTCTACATGTAAAAATATCTCTAATTGAAATTCCATTTGAAATTTGATAACAAAGTCTAGCTTATTACAGTTATAGGATTCAAAACACTACAGCTTGTTAAAGATGAACTCTATGCAGTTTTTTGTATGTTGGTGTTTAACTCATCTTTCAGATACCTTGGCTGTGGCATATGTCCAGTTTTTATTGGTAGAGAAAGCCAGAGTATCCTGAGAAAACCATCAATTTTGGGCAATTAACAGTTGTACACGCCTCGCCAAGAAAGGGGTTCAAACTCACAATCTCAGAGTTGACAGACTAGTGATTAAATTATCTACTAAGACCACTCAGCCACAGAGGTCCTGTCTTTATGCAGACAAACAAAATAATTGACACCTAATGAATATACACCTTGCTATATCACAGACAGTTGCATTAACACACAGACCTGTCAATTGACAAAACACCTGAAAAAAAACCCTTGCAAGCTTCCTACTTACTGGTTTTTTCCTTAGAACAAGATGTTTTCCTCCATAGAAGACGTAATATGTAGGATTGGATTGACCATGCCTAAAACATCGTATTACAGGAGGATCTAAAAATAGAATAAATAATGTAAACTATGTTGTTAATTTCTGTGTCACTAGGTCTCTTGTGGAGAGTTGTCTCATTGGCAATCATACCACATCTTCTTTTTTATATGTTGCATGCATGTGAAGTTGTAAATATGATCTATTATCTTATGTAATCATCTTAAATTTGGTGCATTGTTCGGACTCCAAAAATTTTCAAATAGTTATTTTGAATACCCTTTACCATGTAAATCCCATCTTTTGATAAATTAGGTGACATTTTAAGTTAGACCTGCCCACAATGTTCTGCAGTTTTAGAGGGGAACTAATTTAGTATCATCTTAAAGTTTTTTTTCTAGAAATATATCAGTCCAAATAATTATGACGTCTTGAAAGGCTATTTCATTTTTTGTTGTTATGCCTTCCTTTAATTGCTTTTAATGCCCCAATTGTATCCTCTCTTGTTTTTTGTTACCAAACAAAAAAAATCATTTTAGACTAGAATTGTATGTGAAGATATTCAATCCGAAAAAGATGTGGCATCTTTGCCAATTGGAGAACTATCCACCAAAGTACTTATACTTGATTATAATTTTGATGAAACAAAATGAATATAATTATTAAGACTAACAGAGGACTTCTCACACTATAAAACATTCAACAACTATAAATATAAAACGGTTCTAACAATTTCAACTTTACCCTTAGGAAATATGAGGCATTCAGATTCTTAAAATTAAGACTGCTATAACAAGAGCTGTTTTCAATCAATGAACACATCTTTGACATTGCAATGTTTTGATTTGAGATTTTATGAGCCAAACAGTTGTTTACCTCATGAAAAACCCCTTATAAATTTTATTATATATACTGTAAATTCAGAAATTATTGCATGGATTTATTATTGGGATTTTGTCATTTTAGACTATAATGCGATTTTAATTTTTGAGATATTGAGAAAAACCCTGTTTAAATCATATAAAAAATTTCAAAATGCGAGTTTAAATTATTGCGATTATAATCCTGTCGCATTTTTCACAATAATAAAAACATCGCAATAATTTCTGAATTTACAGTATTCATCTCCAGGACATTTTAAAATTTCATAAAGTAATTTGAGTTTTGTATAGACTGTAGGATGGTCATAAAAGACTGACTTCAATCTTCAGCATTCCACCATACATGTCTGCATACAATTTGCCAGAAATTTTCGTAAAACTATAAGTAATAAAGACCTATATAATCTAACATCACAACAGATATTAAAGAAGAAATGGAAGAAAGATGTTGGAAATGGTTTGGCCATGTATAATAAAATTCAAAAATGATGTTACTAAAATGGGCCTTCATTGGCACCAAATGGGAAAAGAAATAAAAGACAAGACACAAGAAAAACAAGGCAATGGACCATAGAGAGTGAACTAAGAAACATGGGAATGACATGGGGAGAGGCAGAACAAAGGTAGAGTAGGGCAATAGTGGAGGACATTGGTGATTGCCTCATGTGCAAATATTCATAAAAAATTCTAATCATGTAAGTACAGAGGATGGTCATATGTGACTTTTTCGTTGGACTTGTCAAGCAAAAGTAACTTCAAACCAGTAGTTTTTCCCCATATTTTAAGACTTATCTTCAGAACATAGTATAAATATATAATACCAATTATATTGCACAAGACACATGTTTTTGGAATAATTCTCATCTATAAATATACATAAAACCTACGGTTTTTAAAATAAACATATATTTCTCTTATTCTTACTCAATTTATCCTTTTCCTGACATGTCGATTATTTTATTTAATCAAAGTGTGGTTCGTTTGATCTCAGTTTGACATTGGTCAAAATTTGATTATGACTTCAAATTTTTTGCTTTTCTCTGAAATTCCTATTGTGGTGTCATGAAAAAAAGCGACCATGCCTGATGACGTCACATAGAAAGAACACATCTTTTTGCAGATCATTCGAAAAGAAGGATTATGATTGCCTGCAAGAATTATAGTCATTTCGTACCATAACCATTTCGTACCACCCATTTTGTACCATAGCAAAAACCATTTCATATCCATGACCATTTCGTACCATGACCATTTCATACTATATGGAAGATTATAATGTATAACATTCTGAACCATATGGAAAATTGCACTAAATTGAAACTGGACATGGACGCAACTCAAAATAAAAAAAAGTCTTTTAATTGCACTAACTTCCATACTAATATTCCCATTTAAAACTAAATATTTTTCATGTACCAAGTTAGTTATAGTAAAGTTCAACTTTCATATGATTCAAAATGGTAAAGCATTTTTTCCCATATGGTACGAAATGATAAAGCATTTTTTCCATATGGTACGCAATGGTAAATCATTTTTTCCATATCGTACGAAATGGTAATTTTTTTCCATATATGGCACGAAATGGTTTATGTTCATGGTACGAAATGGCAAATTCATGGTACAAAATGGTAATTTTGGGTACGAAATGACAATGGTACGAAATGGTTATGATGCGAAATGACTAGATACCGTCTGCAAATCATCTAAAAATCATAAGAGAAACAGATTCCACCACCAAATCTCATGCAAGATGATATTTATCCACTCTCAACAGTCAAATTTTAAATATTTAAAATTAAACTGTCTCGAATGAATAAATATCGTATTACACTGCAGCGGTAGAATCTATATATATATCAGAAAAGCATGACTCCTCCTGCAAATTAGATTATCTCCCCTTTAACATGTTGAACAGAAATTGTATTCCTTTATGCTAATCTTGTAGTAGTATTCCACCACTGTGTAAAGCTACAACAATATATACCCAGCTTGTTCACAGACAGACAGACATACAGGAAAGGTGATTGCTTTATACTGTGTTTGTGTAGATATGATAAATTTAAATTTCAACCAAGTTATGCAACAGACCTTTAGAATGTAACTTCAGAGCCCAGTTAAGGTAGCTTTTCAGTTTATCCATGTTGATTTCCAGATGTTTTGGTACAGTTATGGTATCCTCTTTATGACATCTCATACACAGTCCACCTAATTCCTTCTCTAAATCTCTCACGGCTTGATCAGGATCAGTAACCTATTATACACCATAAAACTAAGGTTAAATTAGCTGATACAAATTCAATAAACATTCTTGATAATTTCCTTAATCCTTGATAGCCTTATCTGAATCAGTTAAAACTAAAAAAAACAGGATTCATGATACAACCTGAAAGCTTGTGGAAGCTAACAAATTAAATAAATTTGTTATGAAGGAAATTATATCAATGTATTTCTAAAATGTTTTATATCTGTTGTGAATAATCAAATTATGATAAATGTTTGTTTATATCTACATGTAATCTATGTACAAACCTTTATTGTTCTTATGCCTAATTGTCTTGCTGATTTCACGTTTACACCAAGGTCATCTAAAAACACTGTTTCTTCAGGCTGAAGGTCAAGTTCTTTTAGACATGCATGAAAGATTCTGGGGTCAGGTTTTCTAATTCCAAGCAAACATGATTCAATAATCTACAATTCAGATAATCAATTGAATATTTGAAGGTTTGTACCCTTCCGGAGCACCTGAGATCAGGTGGGGTTCTTTTTGCTCAGTCTTCAATTTTTTTATGTTGTTTTTGTGTACTGTTGTTTGTCTTTTGTTTTTTGTTTTTTTTTAAAGCATTGGCACTGTCAGTTTATTTTTCTACTTATGAGTGTGAATGTTCTTTTGGTATTTTTCTGCACTCTTTTATTTACACAACAGAATTTTAGCTGAAACTATTCAATGGCTACTTTAAATTCCATTTTCACATTTCTTTTAAATGAGTAAATGAGTCATTCCCTTAGGTATTTTAAAAAGAGTACCTGTTTACAAATAAGATCATTTTCTCCATCTTATTCAAAGGGAAGAAATTTGAAAAAGCCTGAAAACTGTAAAAATTCAAAGTATTTAAAGAAGAGTTTAGTACTGATTTAAATCATTATAAAATACTAGAATTCATATGATGATTGCAATCATTTTTGGCACAAAGGGTGACTGAGGTATCAATTTAGAACAATAACATAAAAGATATCTTAAATTTTTGGTCATAATGAATATGATAAATCATAATCCCTAAAAGGATATCATAAATTTAACATTTTTTTTTAATCTGTTAATCACTACGTTTTGGATGATTTTTTAACTGTATATTTAATCCCCAGGTTTCATTGGTTCAACTATGGAAATTCAGGCTTGAGTATTGTAATGTGCCAAAATACTTTACTACAAGTTTAAGACTTACAAAAATTTCCACTACACAGCAAAGAAACATTGACAATAGCTACTTCAAACAGAAGAACCAATGGTGGATACCCGACTTTTTTAAAAGGTGCATAAATCCATAAAACATTACAAATTTTTTGGATGATTTTATTCTAAAAATATTATAAATCATGAAAGCATTATGATTATGGTTATGGTTGTCTTTCTGATATTGTTTTACATCTCACCCCTTTTTTTTTTTATTAATTTTGTATTTACATTGTGTCATATATCAAATTTATTCCTTCAGTGTATGTTCCCTTGTTATTGTTAATATGTTTTCTGATTGAGTTAAGCCATTTCAATTGATATTTTATTGAGTGTCTTTCTATGTTGTGATGTTACACTATTGTTTCAGGTTAGGGTGAAGGTTGGTGCCTATTTAAATGTTTAAACAGGCTGCATTTGTTTGCACCTGTCCTAAGTCAGGAACCTGATGTTCAGTGGTTGTCGTTTGTTGATGTGGTTCATAAGTGTTGCTTGTTTCTTGTTTTTTATATAGATAAGACTGTTGGTTTTCATGTTTGAATGGTTTAACACTAGTCATTTTTGGGGCCCTTTATAGCTTGCTGTTCCGTGCGAGACAAGGCTCTGTGTTGAAGGCCATACTTTGACCTATAATGGTTTACTTTTACAAATTGTGACTTGGATGCCAGGAGAGTTGTCTCATTGGCACTCATACCACATCTTCTTATATCTATTATATAATTAATTTTTAAGGTGATCAAAGAGGGTGTAATCACTACACCCCCACGCCCCTGACTCTGCCACTGAGCACAAAGTGTTTGTATTTAAGCCCCTTACCACATCAAATAGAGGTTTAAGATTTGATAACATTCCTGAACCATTTCCAGGGTGTTTCCAGTTATTTGTGATGATGGCTGTCTTCATGCCTTCCTCACGAATACACTTAATAGCATCTATAATCTGTGGATATGGATTTATAAGGGCAGCGTGTAGTGAAACAAACATATCTGTCATGTCAACTTCCTGTCCCATCTGTAACAAAAATACAAACATAACTATTACACTGAGTTACTTCCCCTACATGAATGTTGGACAAATATTGAAGAATAATATACATTTTTTGTAGATTTGAGAAAAAAAAAACATTTTGTGGATCCTTGTTAATTTCTTGGTTATTTCAACTTCCTGTCCCATCTGTAACAAAAAGACTCAATGTGTTCCTGCAAAACCATAACTCAACTTGTATTACAGCCATTTTGTTAACAACTTGTTTTTCAATTTTAAGCTTCAATTGGCAGTTGCAAAAACTTCCTTAAGTTGGGATATCAAAACCTGGAAAGTCAAAATGCATAAAATATTTTTTTGAAACTCCTTATAAACAAAAGCTTAGGCTAATAAAAACAATTTTTTCAGGTCTTTAAATCTTGTTTTTATTCATTTTCTGTTTTACCTCTTTTGAACATTCCTTGTTAAAAGCCTCCATAAACTGTGGAAATGCCAATTCTCCCGTTTCTAGTTTTGACCACGCCCCTTCATCACCATTTCTCACTATCATTCTACCGATTAGCCCTGCAGGTAAACCTTTACTTTTCTCAAATTCTGAAAGATAAAAAAATATCCTTCTTTAAACATCTTCAATAACAAAAGTTCCTGTATCTGTATGTCAGAGATGTCCTCCTTGAAAATATACTTGAACTAGGCTATCACTTAGTTGAAAGCCATATTTCATGATAAATCAGTCAAGCCTAAAATATGTCATAATATAAATGATAAATAGTTTACCATTACGATATGAAAGAAAAGGTAAAACAGCATTGAAATACTGCTATGAATGTCTGTAAAAAAAGAAGGTTGTAAAACACACAAAAAAGTACCAAAATAGTAACATATGAATAAAGGAATATATAGTGTAACTATCAATAAGACAGCAAACAAACAACACATGTAGCTCAACAAAATGAAAAATCAAGTTTTCACATAATGCCATCTTGAGAACAGACCAAATATGAAATCATTAAAGATCAAAACTAACTTGATTAATATAAATATATAATATAGAGACATATGAAGGCAATCGTTATTGGTAGTTGTTATTCTATATTGCCAATTATTATGGTTACCCCCACTGTGGTCTCGTGGTAGCATGTTTGCCTCGAGTGTGAGAAGGTCGTGGGTTCAAACCCCGGCTGGGTCAAACCAAATACTTTAAAATTGGTATTTGCTGCTTCTCCACTAAGGAGTAAGAGCAAAGACTGGTCAGCTCAGAGTCAGAATAATATGTCTGGGTAGAGTGACATATCTTCCTGTTAACTGTGAACTAGCCATAAAAAATCTGGCTCAGCGTGTCGGGCTAGTACAAAGCAGGGTTAATATTCATATAATATTAACATGTTCTCGTCCTGAATTTGCATTTAATTTGCCCCTGGAAGTGAAACAGTCATCCATAATCATCATCTTTAATGGTTACTTACCTCGAAAAGCAATCATAGGTTGTGGTACAATAACACCACCTAGATCAAATATGACTGCTTTAGTGACTGGCATGCTTGTTTTATTTGTACAATAAAACAAAGAGGGGATAACTCTTCTTGATAACAGTCTGTGACTCTGCTGAAGTCTGGACAGGGCAGTAAATGATTTTAACATTCTGCCATCTGTAAAGGAATTTTCAAATGTTTGAAATTACATACTGCAAACAAATTAAAAGTATCCCTGCATCTAATTTTCAAATTTTTAGTTAGTCACAACATGATTTATAAATTGTAAAAATTTCAATGTACCAGTAACATATGTGTATATGTGTATTGTTTTTCCTATTTCTGGAGATAAAGAGAAAAGTACTAAACGTAACAATAAAAATCAATTTAAATTCAAGCTCAAGTATTTGGCAATTAGTCACAGATTTTCGTAAGACTTGAATATTTTATAAAATGAAAATAGAAAATAAATACAAGTAGCAATTAAAAAAAAACCTATAAATTCTTTTGATTACAAACTGAAAATCAATTAAGGTGTACTCTTACATTACAAAGGGAAGACTGTCTCTCATGAAGTAATAAGTTGTTTACAAGAAGCAAGTTAGAAGTATTGAGCACATGTGATATGAAAAATTTGTAAAGGGTTCAACAGAACTCTGTGTCTCGTCTGATATTGCTGCTATAAAAAATAAAAGTGTAATGTTGAGTGCCAAAAACTAAGTCAATTTATCAGTAACATAAATAGAAAAAGCAGAAAAATTCAAAATTCATTCAGATTCTATTTCTTGATATTGAAGAAGCTACTATCTAAGCTTCATAAAATTCCATGACGGTCTGACAAAGTTATTGATGTCTAAAAAAAATCCCAGACTGTATCTCAAAGTCTAAACTGCAAAAGAATTAAGGGAACAGTCATTATTTATCAGCTGAGGGGGTTGGTTCATTTTAGGGGGGGTCACTACCAAAAATATCATACAGCTGGGGGGGTTGCCATCAAAAAAATTATTTGACTGGGGGGGTCACACAATGAAAGTTTTTATGTCTGACAAGCATATAAATTGTTGACGATATTGAAGTGAGTGTGCAATCTTTTAAATAATTTCTGTCATTATTAAATCTTTGGTCATGTACAGTGAGCACTAGAAAGATGCCTAATTTCTCAAGGATAGTGAATCTGATCACTCCTTATCACAGTCATCTGTTATGGTTCATTATCCCATGGAACTATTATATTCAATATAATAGTTCCATGATTATCCATAGGACAAGTAGGATGTGAAAGTTTACAATCTGACTTATCTCAAGATTAACAACTGTATAAAACATTTGTCTCTAGTTTTGACCACAGGAAACAATGAGTTTTAAAAGTTTCTGAACATGTGTATTACAACTTTCTGAAGTGTTCAAATCATTTTGATGCGATTTCTTAGGATAGATATAGGACTGTAAAAGGTGTGTACGTTCTGAAATCATTTGTAAATATGTAAAATTATTTTATGAAATTATTTCAAAGATATCGAATAATAATAAAAAATTTTAATGTTCAAATCGAGGGCCCTTGTTGGGCAGCATGGCATTCACACACACAAAACAATACACATCGGATTTCGTAAAACATTTTCACATTGAAATAAAATATTGAATGTTCATATAGTTATTAACCTACATAAATATTTCTTTATCTCAAATAAATCATGTACATTTTTGTACATATTTGATCCAGGAAGGACCAGAACCATACAATTAGTAATATTTGTAATGTGTTATTTTCAGTTGCACTTCCAAGAGTGGGATTAAAATAAAAAAATAACTATATGATGAGAAAATTAAAATCCAAAAAACACATTTACAAAACTTCAAAATTTTAATAAAGACATTAAAAGAATTGAGCCATGTTTTCTCTTTTTTTTTTAATGTTTTTTCATTCACAAATAATTCTGTGTCAGACAGTAAATTTACATTTATTCATAACAGAGGGAAATTCATTATTGAAAGGTTATACAGTATATAATATTGTAGAATTATAGGTTGCATTCAAATAAATTGGAACAAAGAATTTTCTGTTTTTTTTTCTTTTTACGTCATTCCATTCATTTATAATAGCACATGCTCATGTATATAAAAAGAATTGGCTAATTGTGCCTTTAAAAGCTTAACTTTTTAAGAATTAGCAGTTTCAAAATAAGGGACAATCTGTATTAAGGTATGACTTCATTCTGTTCATACAATGTAAAGGTTCAAGTAAAAAAGCAATATATATTTGTTTTCATTTAAATGCTTATTTTGTCCATTTTTCTTTTTGCATGTGTCAGCTATTCATATTCGAAAGAAAGAAAAAAACAAGAATAAACTTTATTGTATACTCAGGGTTTTCTCAAAGAAGAATACAACTGAAAAATGTTTTCTAAAATCAGTTGCATCAGCTTCAAAATAAAGAATATGGAAGGTCATGATGAAACATCAAAGCAATATAATATTTATGGAATATCACTTACTAATGACTGCTAACCAGACAAAGTAAATTATCTTTATCAAATTAATTAGTTCAAGCTACTTATACATGTTATATAAAATAACAGAACTATAGTGTAGAATGTATTATGAAATATCAGTTCAAAATCAAAGAAAATGAGTACTGCAATCAAGGAAAACCCCTTTATACCGTATTCTGTTACGGAAAGTGTCAATGTCCACATACTTCTCATAGCTATTTTTCAAGTCAATGCCTGTAACTTTTTACATTGTAGCTTGCAGTCATCATCTTCTCCCAACTGTTAATTGATAGAGATTTTTGTTTGGTGGGGGGGTCAAACTTTTGAAACTATGTTCTCAGGGGGGGTCATTATGTGGTTCATAAGAATCATGGGGGGGTTGTCATCAAAACCTTTAAATGTGAAAAATTTGAACCGACCCCCTCAGCTGATAAATAATGACCATTCCCTAAGTTCATTTATCTACAAAATACAGAAGAATGAACAAAAAATCAAAAGTTTGCATCAAACATTATTTCTTAACCATCAAAAAGCTTCTGGCAAAGCTTCATAAAACTCAAGGAAGTTTTAATAAAGTTATTGATGTCTTACAGCCGATTTCATTGAGTGTGTAGGCAAAGGTAATATCTTTGGTTAGCTTGCTTGTTAGCTGAACCGTGAAGTCATTATTATGTCAGGTATACTACCCTCCTTTAGAAGTAGACTAGTCCAACAGACAGATAGATTGGTTATCTGTCGGACTAGTCTACTCTTAAAGGAGGGTAGTTTATCTAACCTAATAATGACTTCACGGTTCAGCTAGCAAGCAAGATAACCAAAGATATTACCTATGCCTACACACTCATTGAAATCGGCTGTAAACACTTTAACCCCAGACTGTGTCAAAGTGTTAACTGCAAAAAAAATTAATCCTTTTATCAGTAAAATATCGAAAAATGAAAATAAATATTTTCCAATTTCCTATGGATTCTGTCTTTTGATCATAAAAAAGCTTCTGTCCAAGTTTAGTAAAATTCCATTAATGTTAGACAAAGTACAAAATGTAATCGATGTCTGGACAATTTTAACCACAGACTGAATCTAAATGTAAGACACAGTTGACAAAGGAGACATAATTGTTAGAATTTTTAATAATTCAGAAATTAATAACTGCAGAGAGCTGAACATTTAAAATCATCTTAATTGTCATTGTTATTTTTTTCGCAGGTATTATACATTGGAATAAATATGTAAAGTGTTGTTTTCAGAAATGGCTGGTCATACAAAATTATAAATTATGTCTGCAAAGTTTTGGATTTTAATTATTCCAAACAAGAAGGTAGGATGAGATAGAAAATTTCATAGAAAAAAATCAATGTTTTTTTTTAATAAAGCAACTGCAGACATTGGTAGATACAAATAACCATGTAAAACTGTGCACCGGCCGGCCTGCATGCAACCAGAAACATGACGTTAGATCCCATGGATAGAAACAAGCTAGATGCAACTGTGTGCTGCATAAATAAAAAAAATATGTACACATGCAAATAAACATTACTTACATTGAAATAATGGTTAATGCAATGTTGATTATTACAAAGAAAAGGGATTAAGATCAAATTACCTATCTCTAAATATCAGGTCAATATCTAGGGCACTCCACTCTTATCAAATTTGAACTTTGAACTTGGTTATTAGTTGTATTTAAAAAAAGATTTTGCCAACATTCTTACTGATACTGTTTTTTATATATATATATATATAAATCAAAATAAGAAAGAAAGTTCTAAGTAGATTACTTATTTTCCATAAAATTTTCTTCAAAATAAATCGATATTATATAACTTCATAAGTTTCAAGTGTACAGTTGATGCATCAAGCTTAAGATTTATCTGTAGGCTTGTCTACAAAATTATTTTTTTACAGAAGTGTCGAAGACCAAACAGCTAAAGTTACTTCAGATGATGTGTAATCCTTCTTTTACGAATGTGTTGTACTTTTATCCGTCTCTGTTGTTATTAATAAATTAACGATTTATTTATATTCTATGCAGTCCATTTTGGATGATTTTTTTGCAATGGACTTTTTAATTTTACCTTTACATAAAAAAAAATGACAACAACGGACCAATAATATTTTTCATACACTTTTATCTTGGGTAGTTCAGAAGAAATAGAGTTGTGAGTTTATAAAGATTAGCACATTCATAATCATTATGCGGAGGATGAACTTTTGCAGACATATTAGATTTTCTATAAGTCCATTATTCCGTTCCTATAAATTCATTTGTGCCATTGTTGCTGCAGTCTTAATTTTAGAAATAATCATATTCCATGGAATAGTCATATATGCATACCTCAAGTTTAAAAACAATTTTACTCCATTATATGACCCTAGTAAGCAGACTTTCATTGAAAAGATTGGAGGCAATGAATTTGCTAGAAGCGTTATTTTTTCTGCAAAATATGGCGGTTTAGCCTCAATATTACAAGACACCGTAGAAAGGGTTTACATAACATATCCAAAGGAAATCCTCAATAAATCCATAGCTACACTTAGACTGGACACATCTCATTCAGGGGAGTTTTTATATCTTTATCGAAAAATTCTTTCAAGAAGAAGATTTCCTTATTCCAAATTGATAGTTGATATTGGTGCTAATGATGGTTTCTTATCCAGTAACTCATTTAACTTTATACAACATGGATGGAATGCTATCCTTGTAGAACCTCTGTCAGAACAGCTTCATCTTGCAAGACATCATTTATCAAGGTATTAATTAAATTAATTTATCATTTAACAGTTTTGTGGTCTCTGAATTTGTAGCCTGCATGATCACCTCTGACCACAGGTATGAGACAAGATTTTTTTTTAATACATTTGTATATGAACATATGTTGAATACACTAACAAAAAGTATTTAACATACATGTATATACCAGTGGCGGATCCAAGGGGGGGGGGGTTCTGGGGGTTGGAACCCCCCTTTTTTTGACGATCAATGCATTTGAATGGGGACATGTTGTTGGAACCCCCACTTATCCTGGGTTGGGACCCCCCCCCCCCCTTTTAAAAATGGCTGGACTCCCCCCTGTATACATATGTTACAAAAAAAAATTCTCAACTAGTACTAGTCAAGTATGATATCTGTGCCTCTGACCTGTGAGTACAATCTCCGGCGCAGAGCTTACAGCTGTTCCGTACTTACTTCGTATCACTACACTGAATATGTCATTGTAATGTAGTGTACTGAGTATACAGAATGGAAACAAGCGCTGTATGGAGATTGCTGTGAGTATAGTACTAGTCCTTAGAGCAAATTTATGAGTAAATCTGTGGCTTACCTTATTGCTTGAAAATTTTGCCAAAGAATTTTGAAATTACATTGTATTTAAAAACTAATACAAACCAATATCATGAATGAAAAACAAAAACAAAAATCAATGGGAGGACAACTTAAGTTAATTACAAGATCTAGATAATAATCTTTATATCAGGGGAAATAACTCAAAATATATCAACATTTTCACTTCTTTGAAGCGTCTTTGATAATAAGAAGTACATTGTACCAAGTTCAATGAATTCTAATCAAATTGCACTGATTACTGTCATGATTAACTGATAAAAATTTTTTTTCCATTAAAACATTTATGAATTGAAAATCCTTTAATAAATATTTTTAAAGTTTATTGTCGAGCCTGCAGCTTTTGTCGCAGAAAGCTCAACATAGGGATGGCGGTGGCGGCGGCGTTAGCTAACTTCTTAAAAGCTTTATATTTTAAAAGCTAGAAGACCTGGATGCTTCATACTTTGTATATAGATGCCTTATGTTATGAAGTTACCGTCTGTCATATGTCCATTGTCCTTGACCTCATTTTCATGGTTCAGTGACTACTTGAAAAAAAAGTCAACATTTTTTGTAATGTTAATTTCTTTCTTGTTATGAGTAATAGGATAACTTTTTTTCACAATAAATTGTATTGTTATGTTCATTAACATTTGAAATTGAAACTTTTGTTTGAGCTGAAATAATATGTGAAATATTACCTCCAAAAATTTCTGACAAAGAAGTGAAAGATTAGTGATAAGTATTTATTAGATGAATTTGTCATGTGTATCAGCACTAAGGGTGGCCATGTTCTGTGGATCCTGTGATAGCAAATCTCACATTTCTTTTTAAATCACTCGGTCCATATCTGGTAAATAAGTAGTACCATTGTTTGTGGTATATATCTAGTAGGTAAAAACATTAGTTGATGAAATTTGAACGGTTTGTGTTTTAAGTGATGTGCGTGCATCAATTGAGGTCTAAATGATTTTTTTCGAAAGGTGTTTAAATTCTTTTGCCAGGATCATCAGTTTTGAATGTACCCATGTTCTAGTCGAATAGATCAAAAACAAACTAAAGATGACATCTCGATTAAGAAAATTGTCCAAACAAATAAGAAATGACTTGATGTTTAATAGTTTGTAATCCAATCATGTTAACGGTTAATTTTTTAACCCTGGCAGGTGAGGTTTAAAGGTATATTATAGGCGGAGATAAATGAAACACTAAAAGTTTTTTAGTATGTGCGTACCTTGCAAGGTCCTCATGCCCATCAGACAATTTTCATTTGACCTCGACCTCATTTCATGGATCAGTGAACAAGGTTAAGTTTTCGTGGTCAAGTCCATATATCAGATACTATAAGCAGTAGGTCTACTATATTTGGTGTATGGAATGATTGTAAGGTGTACAGGTCCAACTGGTAGGTGTCATCTGACCCTTAACTGCATTTTCGTGGTTCAGTGGTCAAAGTTAAGTTTTTGATTTTTTGTCTTTTTTTCTAATACTATAGGCAATAGGTCAACTATATTTGGTGTATGGAAATATTTTATGATGTACATGTCAGTCTCGCAGGTTTTATTTGACCTTGACCTCATTTTCACGGTTCATTTCTGAGTGTTAAGTTTTTGTGTTTTGGTCTGTTTTTCTTCAACTATAAGCAATAGATCAACTATATTTGTTGTATGGAAGGATTGTAAGGTGTATATGTCTGTCTGGCAGGTATCATCTGACCTTGACCTCATTTTCATTGCAAATTGGTCAATGTTAAGTTTTCATGGTTAAGTTTGTTTCTTAGATACTATAAGCAATAGGTCAACTATATTTAATGCATACATTGATTGTAAGGTGTACATGTCTGTCTGGCATGGTTCATCTGACCTTGACCTCATTTTCATGGTTCATTGGTCAATGTTAAGTTTTCTTGGTTAAGACTGTTTCTTAGAAACTATAAGCAATAGGTCAACTATAGTTGGTTTATTGAATGATTGTAAGGTGTACATGTATTTCTCGTTTGGTTTATCTGACCTTGACCTCATTTTCTTGGATCATGTTAAGTTTATGTGTTACTTGTAGTAAAGCTTTATATTTAGGACTATCAACATAAAATCAATGGTTAGTAAAGAAGGCGAGACATTTCAGCGTGTGCACTCTTGTTTACTTTTAGAATATGAATTTGCTATACATTTGTAGAAATAGCTTAGATAATGAACTTTTTATATGTTGTATAAACTAATCTATTTTTCCAGATATATAGATGAATACAATGAAAAAAAGCAGTTTGTTCAATATGTAGAGGCTGTCCTAGGAACAGAAGATGGAGCAGTTAAACTGATTATCTCTCCTGATTTAGCTGCTATGGAATCTCATGTACTTAATGAACATGATTATGATGGAACTAAGAAAGTTGTGAGAACAGTGCCTGGGATATCTGTTGGTAGATTTGTTGAGGATTATGACATTCCTAAAAACTTTGGTATTCTGTCTATAGATGCAGAGGGACAAGGGAATAAGGTAAAGAATGTTTATTAGAAACACTACTGAAGTACTTGGACTGTCTGGTAAATTAAGTTTCTGAATCATGGGTTTAGTGATGACAGTACCTCATCTTGTTTTTTTCACTTTTGAGATGACATCATGGTTTTACTCACCTACTTGGAGAAATTTACCCACAATGTAATCATAAACTCAGCCAGTCCTGAGTTCATAATTTTGGGTGGAAATTAAATCTTTTGAAAATCATTATCCAAACAGTCCCATTTGTAAATAAAGTCTTAAAATATAAGTTGACAGACAGAAAAATATTTGATTCTTTACTCTAGCTTTTGTTACAATACGAAATCATATTGTTTTTGCAAAATTGCTTAATCAAAAATGGTGAAGAATTATGATATATAATAACTGAATGTCAATTGGGAAAAGCATAAAGTAGCACAGAATTAAGCAAAAGCAATTATGATACTTTTTAAATCTTCATTAGTATTTCAGTATGTGTTTAGATGTATTTTGCAACAAAAGCTCCCATGTCCAAGCATGTTTACTTTTCTTGACTCCCCTAACTTGTTTTAAAAAAATGAATAATTATAAATTTATAATTTCTATGTTAGATCACTACTTATATTTGAGAAAGGGAAAAATGACAATTGATGGAATGAATGTATCATCATTATTATCTAACAATAGAGTTTTTTTTTTGTCAATTTGAATGCTTATCTACATAAAGGTTAACTGTTATATACATGTATTAGTACATTACATTTTAAAGATAAAATTCATCAAGAAAAGGTAAATACATCTAATATGCATCTAATGAATCAGTTTTGTTTTTGGCATTTGAACTTGATGATTGATTGTTGACTTGGATATAAGTTAGTTATATAGTGTGTTACAGATAATGCACACATGAATTGTAGTTGAAAAATAAACTGGATTATAATAAACTAAAACACTCTTGAGGCATGTTGAGCCACAGAATTCAACCAACAGCTGTAGCTACATAACATGTATCTAGCTCCCTATAATAGTGAGCACATTTTGATCCTGCTTTCCAAATTATGTTCCATTTCATTTTCTTGTTCAAGTTAGTGATTTTCTTGTTGTGAGCTGCACTATGGAGGTTTTCTATTGTTTGTTCCCATTTTGTGATGTTTAGTCTTATTAGGCAATGGCAGAGGTTTGTGTGCATGTAAAACAGGCTATGCTCTTTGGTCGGGTTGTTGTCTCTTTGACGCATTCCCCATTTCCATTCTCAATTTTAACCCTAATAAGTCAGGCTGTCTGGACCTTGAATTGTTTGTTTTTTCTGAGGAGTCGGATGTTGTTGGTTGGTGTGGTCTGTAGTTATTTGGTAATTCTTGTTAACTTATTTATGTGTAACATGACACATTTTCAATCGATTTGATTAAAACTGTTTAACTTACCTTACAATATATATGTTACACTCAGAAACGTGTCCATATGACGTAACTGAACCCCAAAACATGTATAGTTGCTAAAGGGCGACAAAACGTGTCCTTTTTATGAAAGCCCAATCGTGTCTATTTTTTAAAAACACCCAAACATGTACATGATGTACAACCCCCATATGAAGCCAAAACATCTTAAGCATTTTAAAGTGGGCAGGTTTAATCAGATAACTATTGTTGGACACGTTTGGGAGAGTAAAAGATCGGACACATTTGAGCGAAGTAAATAATTGGACACTTTTGTGGAATGATAAAATGGACACGTTTAGGCGATGTGTGTTTTTTAGGACACGTTGGGAGGATTGGATACTTTTGGGGGATGGACAGGTTTGAGCGTGTTACTTACATAGAAAGAGTTCATGACTAGTACACACATGTACATGAAAACGATCAATGATCCAAACTATTTTAGTGTCTAGCTCAATGCAGACATGTATTGTAGCTACATGTTGATCTCATGTATTTACTAAACAATAGTTTCCTTGACCACATCTACATTTTTTATAATAATAATAAATTCTTTATTTTCAGAAGGTTACACAGTTAACCAAACAGTTAATCCGCCCCGTGGCCTTCTAATCTACATATAGGAATACACAATTTTTAAAAGATAATAATACATAAACAAAAGGGTAATAAAGCAAAAACATACTACAATGCATACAAGAGCACATATATAGTACAGGTAAACAATTACAATTTACTTAAATAAAAAGTATATTTGTAGTAAAATTGTTACATTAAAACTGTGAAAATGTCTCTTCTGTATTTTCAAGAGATAAGCTTAACATTTTGTTTTAAAAACATTTATGCTTTTACTTTCTTTCAAAGTCAAAGGCAAGGAATTCCACAACAAAGTTCCAGAATACATAAATGTTCTTTTACCATAATTAGTTTCATATCGTTGAACAAATATATTATTTTGGGGAGATGATCTTAATGCGTATTTATTAACAACTGAAAAACTTGAAAATAGTTCAGATAAATATTCAGGTATTAGATTATTCATACACATTTTACAATATTGACCAATATCAACCATTATACTTGGAATTAATGGCCATGTTCACAATCTTAAATCATCTAAAATGACATCTGGAATATGATAAATTATCAAATGCTATCACATTTAAATTCTAGTGTAGAATGAAAATCACACCAGAGATCATCACACTGTATGAGTTTTGAATATCCCCTTGGTATCTGCAGCCTCTCTTTTTTTTTTTACATCATTGGGAAATCTGTAAAATATTACTAACAGTTTATTCTTCTTTCTTTCTGTAGATATTACATCAGTTTATAGAATTAGGGTACAAACCAGGTTACATTATCTATGAAGATTTACATGAGAAACAAGATGAGACGGCTCCTGAGACAGTACAATACCTGATGACAGCTGGTTACAGGTATCTGACACAGAGAGGATGGAATCTGTTGTTTGAAAATACTGGCAAACAAAAGTCATAATATGCGATATACAAAACTTTGTTTTTACCACAATGTATGTGGTGCATTGACATACATAAGTAATTTGGAAAATTCTCAAAAATGATAATTTTACAGAAAATTTGCTTTATGGTTAGTGCTTTTGGGTCTACAAAGAATTTCATTTTTTTTCATTTATATATTTTTTATGAATTATCTCCCTTTTTCAGATTTAAGTTTTTTTACTTTTTTTGTACGAAATACTAATACTGTTCAAATAAGTGGGACTATGGAAAAACATAAAATTCATAATCATATTTTATAAATTGCTACCTGCTGTTTTATTCTTAAATTGTAAAATGTATCAAATATAGGAAAAGAAAGGATAGATGTTACAGTTGGGTTTTTATTTTTAGTCTGTTGTTTTCTGAAAGAGCATAATTTTTGTTTATAAAGCAAAAATTGACAAAAAATTAACTGTACTTAAATCGACTTCATGTGAGATAGTTGTATCATTGACAATCAAACATCATTTCCTTAATTTATTCTGAATCTTGTAAAAATTTTATGTACATCATAAACGCATTGTTACAAAAGAAGAATTTTTTTTCTTTCCCGTTTTTCTTTTTTAATTTTACAAAGGTTTTTGTTATTTATGAAGTTAATCAAACATATGTCAAATAAAATTCTAAAACAATAAAAAAAAACCAATGTAGAAATTTCAGGCAACATTTTATACACATCATAAGTAGTCATACAATACCTTTGATTCAAGAGCCAAGTACATTGACAGAAAGATAAGGATAGAAATATAGTGTATTGCATGAGGTTTATGCAGTTATATAGCCAAGGTACAAGATAAATTATACAGAACATTATTTAGAAAAATAATATTTTACTATATGCTGATGACTGACACCATTTAAATGTTTTATGGGCAAATTGGATCCCTGCACCCTTGAACTGAAAATGCCATTGTTCCCGCTTGTTAATATTCTTATCTGATGTATGAAAAGATTTGGTAGAATGAGTAATACAAAGACGCTTTATGGTGTCATCCATAAAAAGTTTTTCCAGTCAGTTGTTGGTTGTTAATTTTGTACTGTGCAATATTTTTGGCAATTCCTGTTGTCCTTTTATGTATTATTAATTTAATTTTTAGAATTCTTTCCTTGTAATGCATTATTTGGGTTTATCAATCAGATTGTTTAGGCTTATATTATTAGATATGATTTCAAAGTCAGGAAAATAAAAAAAGTAGTTAATCACCTACTTAATAACTTGAAAAATTGTAAATTAGGTAGCAGAAAAGTTTCAAGGATCTATGCATTTAACTAACAGCACTGGTTATATATAGCATCTATTAATTGAGTTGTAGGGCTGATTTATTAGATAAAGATTGTTAGGTGTATGTAAAGATGATACAGACAAATCATGTCACAGTCTAAAGCTAGCATGACCAGGCAGATTTTTTACATTCAGGGTACCATTATAATCGTCATATATAAGAAATTGAAATCCAATATTATCTTGTAATGATTCTTATAAGTTTTGCATATCTACAAATACTTAACTGTGATTGGTCCTTTATAATTTGTTTCCTTTGTTTACGCTTCCATTGATCATGTTTCCGAACTACTTTTGTAACCTTATAATGTAAACACGTGTTGATTTCACTGTTTTATATTCATGTGCTATACATGAAAGGTGAAATTTAAATAAAAAAATAACAAATGTTTGGGTTGAGAATTATAAGGATTGGACATCTTTTCTAGAGGTTAATTATTGATGTGTAAACTGGGCCAATGTGCTCTTGTGGAATTTTGCTGTACAATGATCTAAATTGAGAAGAATTGCCAGTTTTCATGTCCAAGGTTGGTGGTTCTCTCAGGTAATTTAACTTCCTCCACCAATAAAAAAAAACAGACTTCCTTCAAATAGATAAGGTTGCTGAAAGTGGCATTAAAAAGCATACAACAAACACAATTATTGTGCATCACAATTTAAATGATCTTATAGAGACACACACAATGTCTCATGTGCCTAATGATGCTCGCTGAAACAGTTCATACATCAATAAATGGAGGGGCTAGAGATCTCTAATATATACATTAAAAATACTATATTTGTTAAAATACGAAAATAACTCAACAAATTACAGCATTCAAAGCACTTTTCTTGATTTACCATTACCAGGAAAGCTCAAACTCAAAAATTGAAAAGCCAAGGATGATTGATTGATTGATTTTTTATGTTTAACGCCACTTTCAGGACTATTTGCTATATTGGTAGCTCGTTTTTATTGCTGGAAGAAGCCAGAGTGCCCAGAGAGAACCACAGACCTTCAGCAGGAAAACCTAATCAATTAAGATTTGAGTCGAACCTACGTGCCAAGGATGTTTTAATATTGAAATACTTGGAGTACTTTACCCATCTTGTTCTTTTATATGATATAGCCAATGTTGTGAAAACATATTTTACCAATAAGTTTTTATTTTTTTATATATACATGTACATGGTTATTTTTTGATTACGCAGCACTTCTTGTTACTCTTATATGAATAAAATGTTTTCCAATAACTAAAGTCTCATTCTTTCCTCAGTATATCTGATATCATAAAAATGTAACTACCTCAAAACAGTCATATATCATGCTTGCTTTTAATGCCCCACCTTCGATAGTAGAAGCATATACTGCTTTCCAGTCTATATGTCTGTCCATCTATTAGTCTGCCCACATCAGAACTTCCTCCATAAAGTATCAGTCTAAAGTATTGGTTTAAGGTATTTTACCATGAAGTTGTCATGTGCGGTGACATCATCTTGAAATTTTGTACAACTGTTCATTATAATAGGAACTTTTTAGAATATGATTACTAGTATGCTAAATTAAGGATTTGAGACAGATTGATGCATATAGTCCAATAAAACATAAATTCTTGTTTGTATCTTTCATTGTTACACTGTTTTCTTTTGCAACCCCTTCTAGTTTGTAGTCATCAATTTCAATCAGTGTCATAAACTTTGTAGCCATTATAGGCGAACAGTTTTTATCATATAAAGGCACACAGTGATGTGATTTCTTGGTGAGATACATTTTATTATTCATTGTAACTAATTTCGAGATTTAAACAAATTAATGATGATGATGATGATGATGATGAATCCTGGTCATGGCACCAATATCATGAAGGTTGTGAATAGTACTTTACTTTGATTGAAAAAAGATGTGTATTTGATTAGAATTGTATTTATGTAAAGACTAGTTAGGCACAAGGCAACGTTAAATAGTCAATTGGTCACATTAGTAACATGGTTTATGAATAGCAGAAAATCCTTGATGATGATGATTGATAATGCGACGACGACGATGAAGAGGTCACTGCCAATTAAATTGGGATTTGAACTAGTGGACAGGAAAGTTGAGTACTCTCAGGACGAAAGTGTCTTTTTATATTTTTTTTGTGTGTTTAGTTTCGATCTGATGGTTCAAGCCCTTTCCAAATAATGCTTTTGGTTTGTCCTTATGTGGTGTTGTTACACCTCTGTCCAAAGTTTTATGGAGTTTGAACGCTCACAACATGTTAAACACTGCCACATTCTTTATGTGCATGTGAGGAACCTGAAATTCAATGATCGTTGTTGCTTGCTGTACTTTGCCTTATTTGTGTTTTTCTTTAATTGTAGTACAAATCAGAATTTTGGGTACCTCTTCTGTATTGTTTCATATTTTTCCACACTGGGGCCTTTATTGCATACTATACGATATGGGTTTTGCTCATTGCTTAACGGGCAGTATGGTGATTACAATTGTTCATATCTTTGGCATTTATTCATTATAGAGAGGTGTTTTATTGGCAATCATACATCATCTTCTGATTTTTACTTATATAATTGGTTACCTAATTTAAAAAAAACAAGTGATATACTTATGATGGATGTTAAATGCTTTATATATTTTGTTTCCCAAACATATTGATCTTGAGTGTTAACGTTCCACCTGAAGGTTATTCCAGAGTTATGTGTCTTTGCACTGGAATTGGCATCGTATTTTATTATTGAATTATTGAAACATACAGAACCTTACGAGAGTAAGGCTATCTTAAAGGAGAAGCGGTTTAAGGCCACGTTTTGGGCCCCTTGAACAGGTTGGGACCATTCATCATGGTTATGATAATAGAATATAAATGTTTAGTGCACAACATTTTTTTTTTGGTTCGCAATTTTTCCAGGAAAGGAATAATTTGGCTGATTGGTCCCTCTGAAAACTACCATCTTCCGAGGTATGAATTTCATAAACAATTGGTTTTCCAGAAAAGTTGGCAACAAAAAGTTGTTCCCTTTGGTAATCATGGTAATCATTTGCACTTTGTAACACGACAGGTGACACATGTGGAGCAGGATCTGCTTACCCTTCCGGAGCACATGATATCACCCCCAGTTTCTGGTGGGGTTCGTGTTGCTCAGTCTTTAGTTTTCTGTGTTGTGTATTGTGTACTATTGTTTGTCTGTTGGTCTTTTTCTTTTTTAGCCATGGCGTTGTCAGTTTATTTTCGACTTATGAGTTTGAATGTCCCTCTGGTATCTTTAGTTCTAATGAATCGATCTCTTTAAAGTAATATTAAATTTTGCAACCGTATACTTTATTCCTGTCGGAAAATTATATGTCTTTTTTTATCTGGCAGAGAGAATCTTTCTTAAACTCTTTTCTAACAGTTTCCATAAAATCATTAATAATTTGTTTTTTTGCACAGCAAACTTATATCCCATTTGTACATTTGGGATATCATATAAAAAAAACCGGGTTATTGTAACCAATTTGGTTGACTGATCCCAATCTGTCGTAGTCAAAAATAAAAAAAAAAGAATTATGAATCTACAAAATAACATCCTTCTAGTGTTCTTGTGATATATGTCTTACATATTTGATCTCGAATTTTAAACTTCTCAAAAGTAGTGCAAAACAGCAAAATCTGCCAAAATAGTCACATTTTGAGATATTGTCATTAATATTTAGATATGAACAAGAGTTTTACCAGAAAAGACATTTTGCTACAAAATGTATTAAATTAAGATGATTTGTTTTTATCTTTTGAGTAAAGCTATTGCTCATTTATTTTGTTCAAATAGAATGCGTTAATTTTTTATTTTTAGTTAAATACGTAAATTTCGACCTGTTTATGACGTCATATCATTATTACAAGTGACCTTTCTGACTAAAATGTCATGGAAAGAACTAGAAAATAATCTTGTATACGAATGAATTCTAGTATACTGCACAACAAAATACAGGTTATTAAAACAGTGAAAATAATTGATCCCCGCACATTTTTCGAATACAACACTGCGTAACATCTCCTAAGAAAGATTCTCTCTGCCAGATAAAAAATAACATCTAATTTTCCGACAGGAATAAAGTATACGGTTGCAAAATTTAATATTACTTTAAAGAGATCGATTCAATTGGAACTTATTTTTGTTGACTTAAGGAGACGTATATAAAAGTAATAAATATTGTGAGCATTATATAAATTGTATTTATAACTTTTATGGTATTGATTCAACATTTCAAATCTGTATTGTATAATTCTTATTGTATTCAAAAGGGCAATTGTTTCTCATGACCTAACCAGGAAAGAAATTTTCATGATTATATGTATTTTCGCACAAAACATGATAAAGACAGCTAAGTAAACGACAACCACTGAATTACAGGCTCCTGACTTGAGACAGGCACATACAGAATGTGGCGGTTTTACACATGTTTGCGGGTGCCCAACCCTCCCCTAACTTGTTCTCTTAGAAAAAGCAATGGTCCAATCGTTTGATGTTAATATCATATGATTTTTATGAAAATAATGAGATGTGTTATGATTGCCAATGAAAAATCTATCAATAATGACTAAAGGACAAAGTTGTGAATAACTACAGGTCATCGTAAGGCTTTTGGCGGTTTGTCAAAATGTGAAACAGATTAAACAAATGCCCCCAATTTAAAGCAATGAACGAAAGAAAGATATGACAGAGACAGTCAGTTTACGGGTTCATTGGTTTGGACATGCACAAAAAGAATGTGGCGATGTTTAACATGTTTGTGAGCGCTAAACCGCCAATAACCTGGGACAACACAAAATAAGAACAAGCTGTGAAAATATGTTTGAAAGGGCTTGACCAATGACGTCGGTACTAAGCACAAAACAAAAATAACAAAAAGAAAAAAGACACCACGTACTAATCTAAGAGTGCTTGCCTGAACTAAAAGCTAGTTCATAGCCCATTTCAACTCAACTAGAATCCATGACAAATGTGATGGCTTCCATGTATCCCTTCAGTGAACATACATAGTTTACCAAAACTTCAATCGGCATCATCACAAATTGGTTTTACGTTACGGAGTCGCGGTTCTAATAGTGCCGCGGCTACTCTACAACTGATCCCAGATGTCTATTTACGTGAGTTCATAATAGGGAAATTGCAATTGTATCATAGGTTACATTATCCCTTCCACGTAGGTGTCTATTGGAGGCCATCTTCGCTAATTAACCATGGGTTACGATCCAGTCTCCTCCTGGAGGGGTCTGGATCGTAACCCTTGACTAGCGAAGATGATTTGAGGCGTGTCTACTTAATCATATGTCTCAGGGGTCCATTAACGTTAGTGTTGATTAGGGGAGTGGCTACTCTATCATAGGTCTCACTTGTGCATTAACGTTGATGTTGATTAGGGGCATGGTAACTCTATCATAGGTTCCATATGTCCATTAACGTGTTGGTGTCAAATAGGGGCTAAGCTAATCTATAAGTATCAACATGTCCATTGACATGGCTTAATTTCTAGTATAAAATGTAGACTGTCCTGATAGTCGCTAGGAACATGAGTTTGAAAGAGCATTAACGTTGACCATGTTGACATATGATTATCTTTTTTTCCAATTAATATATGCACATCAAGTGATTCAAACGTTTAAGGTGAACTTCATACAATTCATAGCAAGACTGCAGAATATTGTATTTCTTGAAAATGTTACCACACTTTACAGTTGTCAGACTTTTAGACGCTTTTGAGTGTAAGACATTCTTCTTTTGCCTCATTTTCATCAAGGTTGTAGTCATCAATATCTGTCATGTCGTATAGTGTCATAAACCTTGAAGCCATAATAGGTATTATTAATGAGAAGAGTAAAAATCCTATAATAACTGAAAGTGCGCCAATTATCTTTCCAATAACAGTCGTCGGAACCATATCTCCATAACCAAGGGTTGTCATGGTAACCACTGTATACCACCATGTTTCTGGGATACTTGTAAACTCATTTGTATTTTCCACAAAATACAAGAAGTTAGACATAATAATTATCACCACGCACACATACATCATTAGAGCAAGTAAGTCTCTTTTACTGAAATTCAATGTATATCCCAATACTTTAAAGGCGTGGATATGCTGTAAAATCCTAAATAGTCCAAGTACACGAAATATTTGAACGTATAATAAATAATCCAAATGGTAATCGTATATCTGTAAAGTATACCATACTATTGCGCATAATGTTACGAAAATGTCAAACATAATCAAGATA